GCCAAGAAGGCTGGAGAAATATCTTATAAGTTGATTGAATCCCACTCAGTATCTCTGTCAAATGAATACTTCAGCAGCAAGTGTTAAATGAAATACACAATGAAAGTGTGGAAGAAGAAGCTAATAAAATCGTCAAGACTTTGGCAATTAAAAAATATGAATGAAGCCTTCCTGAATGTTGACAAACTTTTGACCATTATGGAAGAATGTGATCCCAATGGATAAGTTATATCTCCAATACGCAGAGCAACTGAGAAAGACACATCATGCTATAAAACTCTTCATGAAGAAAAGAAAAAAACAAAGAGTGGTATTCTTGACAAGTTTATAAAGACAACATCTCAGAGCGCTTAAACAAGACCTGTTAACTTAGTATGTATATTGATAAATGAATAATATTATTGAGAAATAAATATTTCAAAATATAATTTTTAATGTTTTTTAAAATATCCGTCTTTTTTTGAAGAATATTCGCAGACATTTTCAGGAACCAGTTATGTGTGAAAATCGAGGACCGTCTGTTGATTCTGAAGAACTTAACTTCAATTAGCACAGCAAATTAGAATCTTCTTTAACTTACTAATTTGATTCACCATATTATTTTTGCAGGCTATTATCTATTCAAAATTAAAGTTTAAAATTTCGATTATACAACGAGTTTCTATTTCTGGAGCTGTAGCAGGAACAGGAAAGCGAAAGACTATTTGGTACATAAATTGCATATATGGTACATAAGAATATTTGCTGCTTCGTGTAACATATTTGGTAGAGTGGCATAGGCAATAGGAAACGGCTTTGGCACAATTTGGGCTTAAGAAAATGAGATTTCAAAATTATGCAAAACTGCATTATTTTGGCGTAATACTACATAAAGTAAAATTTTCCAATTAATAGAACTTGTGAAAATATGAGGAAAAGTGATAATAAGTGAAGACTATATAATAGAAGTTTTCCACTACGATGACAGTCGGCAACCAACTTTGTTTGTAAGTTGGTCCCAGTCAGCAACCAACTTACAAACGGCGAAATCGGCAATATGGTTTCAAATCCAGAAAATATCGCTAGACAAAGACGCTTTTGAGAATGAAAAGATTTCGAATGACAGTTTAATGGCTAGCCAGTTACAGGACTTAAACAAACAGCTTTGTAAATGAACAAGGAATTATGTCTATTTATAAAATTAAAGAGAAAATATTAGCAAAAAAAAAAAAAAAAAAAAAACTGAAAGCTTACAGATTTTACATTACGCCCAAAGGGGCATTTTTTTAACGTTTTGTGTGTTACCTTTATTTCTTAAATATCGTGTTCTTCGCACTTAAACCATAAAATTCAGTTCAATAGCAATAATAAATAAATTCAAATAATTTTAAAATGAATATCTTTAGAATTCCCGATACACAGTCTTGCGCGCTGCAGATATTTTTTTTCCTCGTACAGTGTTGCCATTGCTCGCTTTGAAATCGTTGAGTTTGTTAATCAAAAATGTGTTAGTTTTACAAAATATGAAATAGATAATAAAACAAATTAAAAATCTGGATGCCCATATTCGGGTGGAAACGTACGTTATTTAAAATTTGATGCCTCTAGGTACCGTTGTTTTATCACAATGCGAGAAACATACATACATTTATGCAGATTCTTCATTATTTAATTTTTTAAATATTATACAGGGCGATAATATTTGGTGGCATCAATTTGAAAAGTGAACCGACATTTATAGTGCACCAACGCAAAACGAAATTAATAGTCCTGGGCAAATTGGCCCTTTTGACTAGAAAGGAAAAAAAAAAAAAGAAACAACTTACATTAAAAGAAATTTTCATTAAAACAAAGAAATAAATATTCATCAACCTTTTTTTTTTTTACTTTTGATTCTCTTAAGGTCATAAACGATTTATTATTTCACAAACAACTAATTCATATTTTTAATTTTATAATTTCTCCATGTCATCTTATATTTAATGTGATGATCTAAATTCCGGATTCGCCGGAAGTCTCGACGGTTCTGAATTTCGGTATTTGTATTGTTACGAATTTTGTATGTATGTAAGTAATTTTAATGAAATTGTAATATCATATGTACAATATAACATGAAACGAACATAGACGAAGAAATAAAGCCCAGACGAAGAAAAAAGGTTACAGTGGCAAGTCTATTTAACATTGAGATAAATGGCTATCTCACTAAATTGGCGCGATATCGCCAACCTGACGCCAAAGTTAGCAGGAAATCGCCAAAGTGGCGACAAAATCTTCAAAAAGCGATTCGCATCACTGCTAAATGACATGTGTGATCAAAAGGTGTGGTCATTACAATGAGATAATTTTTATAAAAAAATAAAATATGATTTTGCTACTTAAAACGCATTTTATACAATGCGCACATATGTGGTCCACTGCTGTATAAATCGATTAATTAAGAAAACACAGAATTTTTTTATAAATACTCCGGATGTACAAAAATTTACTGAACACACAGTTCAGCAAAGCGTTTTAAAAGCGTCGAACACACATTGTATCAAGAGATATAATTAGAGAATGTTAAGAATATTTTATCTCAATGAACAAAAAGTCAAATTCACTTCAAATGAAATGGCAGAGAAAAAGCTCATGAAAAGTTGAAAAGTGTTTTATGCGAAGTATTCGAAATTATAAAGAACTTCAACAATTCATCTTATTCAGACCTTGTACACGTAAAATCTAAACACTAGACCAGCGATAGCGGTTCTCAACCGGTGGTACACAAGAGAAAAATAGGTGGTACGCAAAGAAATAAAGTATTGATAATTAAAATGGTAACCGATTTTTAATCTAATATTTTTTATGTGTGCACATTTAATACAAAATGGCAATATATATATTTAATATTTCTAATAAGAAATTGAAAAATAACGATTATAAAATGTAGTTGTGGTACTAAAGTTTTTAAATTTTTGTTTAGATGTCAAAAGGTTGAAAACCACTGCACTAGATAACACTGCTCTACAAGTAAACAAGAGGTAAGAACAGTTGAGGAATTCGTTATGCATTTAGTACCTAATAAACCACTTAAATGCGATTACGTCCCTTGAAAATCCTCAGTTTACATAAGTTATCTTCACATACCCCAAATTTGGATACAACTGTGGCAATAATTAGTTTCATCGCATAGTAACGAGTTGCATTAGTGATGATAGGCTCATAAGCTCGGAACAACATTTATTATATTTTTTACTTTTGAGTTTGTATCATCATGATAAGTTTCTTTCCTGTGCTTAGAGATATATTTAACTGGTAAATAAATAAATATTTTAAATAAAAAAAGTAAAAAAAATGTTTCATATGTATCTGAAAGAAGATACATCACTGCATCTACTTTCAGATAAATATGAAAATTTAGTTTATAATAATCAAAGCCTTTATTAATTATAACAGCAGTGAGCAAAGATAATAAAACTGAAATTACATATTCCTTCTAATTGTATAAATGAGATCAATATCTAGAACACACTACAAATTTTGATTACATTACTGTAGAAAGGTTAAGCTTACCAAAAAATCTTGTTGAAAATTGACTTTTAGGATGATAGTGTTAACAGTTAACAATAATTTCCTTAGCTAAAAGATGGCAATGAAGCCCATGTTTCTTACATAATCTCACGGACTTAAACTTTCTTGCATTCAGAGATACACAGGCTGCTTAAGTTACATAATTTCTGAGTTTGAACCAAATACCACTAAGTATGGGAAACATAAACCTTACAGCATATTATATTTACTAAATGTGACATGTGGTCCAAATATATATATATATATACTGTAAGGATCTTAAGTTTTACTAACGTTTATTTTATTTTAAATCTTTACTATCACTTCTTATTTTCTACTTCCGGCCAGAATTAATAGCGTGAAGCAAAAAGTTTGTCTGGCGAACGCCAAGTATTTTAAGTTGTGGCTTTTTGCCAAGCGACAGAGAGGAAGCAATGAGTCGAAGCAGGCCGCTTACCTTAGAAGTTACGCAGTTGCCAGAGGTTTAAATCCTCTTGATAAATTTTTAAACGTATTGTAGTGTTCACAGTTCTCTGTACTACATACGCTTCCTGTTAATATAAGGCCAATCTTCCACGTTTATTATTTTAAAGTTAAATTAGAGTACAGTTTTATTTTTATATTTTTACGTTAGACCCCGAGTAGCGGGTCTGTGTATTCCGAAGTACGGAAGTCTTTGTAAATAGAGAAAAATAAAGGGTTTTGTATACCCTTCTTGTGTATCCTGTCTACTTCCCATAATTAGTGAACATAGCTTTAGTAAGCTCTCTGTTCCGAGTCAGGTCCTTGCATGTTCCCGAAGAAGGTAAGAAGGAACATTGAACCTGATAATACAAAGGTATTTATTAAAGTAGTTTTTGGATTATCTCCTAGAAAAAGAACTTATGAATACTAATATAAATAGTGAACTATAATAAAATAGTTCAGTAAAAAGTTTGAGAAATGTCTATTGAAAGTAAAGAATTCACTCAAAGTAAAACTTTTATGTTAATAGTAAATATTGAAACAATATTTTCCTTTATATATACGTAATTTTGAGACTATTTGCAAACTGATCATGTTTCTAATTATTTGGAAGCTATTAAGTCACAGGTTTATTTACGTGAACTACGTTATTGTATTTAGAATTTTATTGTTTCGTTATATTACCAGGAAGTAAACTGATCAGATAGTAGCTTAAGTTTTGCTGATTTTAAAACTAAAACTGTCATAATCACTTACGAAATCTCAATGGAGCCACATAAAATCAAAATGAATTTCAGTTTCCCCAAATTTAGGATTATTTTACAAGACAGTATAGACATTTGGATCGGGTGCAATGTTATTCTCATGTAGTAAAAATATACCACAGTTTATTTTAAAAAATCTTGCAAGATTCTTGTATAATTAAAACCTTTCCTTCAAGATGTACATAAATCGTATTTATTACATCACAAAAAAGCTTATTAAAGAATTCACAAGACATACATCAGTTCTAAAAACAACAAATTTAATAATGTAATGATGCATATTCTTAATCCGATGAGTTTCATGCGACACTAGTGGAAGAAAGTTTCCATACAAATATTGCTCCATCAGGCCCTCCTGTTGAAACAAGATATTTATCATCATGAAGGAATTGTATCATATTCACATCTGTGCTGCACTGTTTTTCTTCATAATAAGCAGCCTGAAAAAATAAGAAAATTATTAATTTTTTACATTTCTGAAAATATATGTCAAAAATAGGTTTATATAATGGCAAAAATTGAAGGGAAAAAAACACCAGATCACTTGCAGTATGAAAGGATGAGAAAAGATATGTAATTTTACTTAATATTTACTTTTAGATGAATATTATTCTGAGAAAACGCGGATATATGCGTTAATTTTTCAAATGGTGGTACCTGAGATTTTACTGTGGCCCATTTAATGGTTTAATCTAGGCTACGGAATGACAACCCCAACATAGATTACAACTACCCTCCCACAGAAAGAAGCAGCAGAATAGCCCAGAATCTCTTCCTGGAAACGGTATTTAGATCATGTGTGCCATTAAATTACCACAACTATACCTCTTTCAAGAATGGTTGTAACGTAATGTCAGGCAGCGTGTTCACTGGAAAAACGTATGGGTATTTGCAAGGCTGAATGACGGGAATGCAATGCGCCTTGAACAAGACGATGGTCCGGCATGCCGCAAGCGTCTCGCAACATAATCTGCAAATAGTTCGTAAACCACGTGGCCTGCATGCGTTCCAGATCTAACCCGACCACAGAATTTTTGGAACTGAATTGAAAGACCTTCTGCTGTAAGAAATATAGCTGAACTGCATTTAGAAGCTCAAGCAGCATGAACTAACATTTCACTAGACAAACTTATGTGCGGAAGTAAGCTAACAAGAGAGGAGCTAAGCTTTGCATTACGGATAATTACTTCTTCCCAGTACAATACTGACTTAATGTATCCTCTTCCATGCACTGAATAAAAATTGTCACATCTTTCGTTTCCATGACATTATTTATGTCACTTACACGTTAACTTTTATATTCGCAAGCTTACCTAATCGTAGTGCTCTTTTTAAACTTTCGACTGCATACCTCAGTAAAATTAATAATTAGGCAAAAAGTTAGAGATCGAAATTTTATCTGACATGATCAATGACGAAATATAAAAGAAAAGTACCCAAACCGACATACCATTTAATTTTTGAATTTTAAACCTAAAATTGGTGTCCGAATTCAATAAAATTTATGCAGGTATGTAAGTAAGAATCTATTTTAAGCCCAAATGCATGTTAATTTGATGAAAAATGTTGAATACATTTGGCACATTTCAATTTGTTTAGATTTTTGCAAATGGACGAGAAAAGAGATCCCAAAACCGACATAAAAAAAAGCTAAAATGCACAGAAACCACTCATTTTTTAACTTACAATTACATATCATTATTCATCAACAATCACTTTTATATTTCAAAAGTTACATTTAAGAAGTATAAGCCTATAGGGACTATTATAATGACAATCAGACTTCTGACAATAGAAGCATTCGTAAAGAAAATTAACATAAAACAATCGAAAAGCACATTTACAACAAATTGAACCTTATGTATTTACAATAATCACAAACATAAATGTCTTTCTCAGCACCAGCACATTCTGTATGTACCCCACTCCTCACAAGATATGCACTGAAATCATTCTTCTTTTTTGTTATCTTGCTAACAAAATCTTTCGCAAAAAATGCATTTTACATCATTGCTTGTAGGTTCACTCGCACCGAAATCTTCATTTGATGACGATAACCAATCATTTGTTGAGAATTGCAGTTTTCTTCTCGGGCGTGACTTGCATTTCGGCCCTTCTGATTACGATGGTTCTCTTCGTGTTGCCTCAGCTTTAAGACCTATTCTGCCTCCGCTTTTCTTTTTCTGAGTAGCAGCAATCAATTCCGATTTGTATGGTGATGCGGTAATGACTCTTGATTGAGAAGCTTTACGTTCTCTGTTTCATATCTTCTTCCTCTTCCCAGAAACTGGAGCGATATCAAATGGACAAATGCCGTGAGATGTAGAGGGTCGTTGGTCATTTTTTGGCGTTCCAGAAGTTGAAGGTGCTTGAGAAGTAGAGATTTCACGTTCTTCGGTAACAATCATAGATGTATCATAAGAGATGCCCCGATTATCGGCATCTTATTCAGCAGCTATGAAGTTAGAATCCGAAAACACTTCACGATTAAGTGGACATAACCCAGTTTCCCTGAAACCATTCATAACAATTTCTACTGTCTAGCATTTGATATAAGCCTGGCCAAGTAGTTCCATTATGTCATAATGAGTAACTGGTTTTCCTGTTGATCGCATCCATAGTCTAATTTCCTCTGAATAGTAAGCCTTCAGTGTCCCCATGAAGGTTTTGTCTAGAGGTTGTAGCTTATGGGTGATATGCGGCAGAAAGGAAATTATTTTGGCAAAATGTTCCCTAGCCAAATTGATCAACTCTAAATTCTTGGTATGGATGAAATGCCCATCCAACAAGAGCACAACAGGATCATCAAAGGTTGGTTTTGTTTTCTTCACAAATTGCTAGAACCACTGAGTGAAATTATTAATTTGTACCCAACCTGACGGGTGGGCTACACCAATCGAATCAGCTGGGTTACCTCTCATTAGAAGTTGCGACATATATTTTCTAGGAACTATCACCAAAGGTGGTATGAAATCTCCAGTGGCATTCATCGCACAAATGAGTGTGGTCAAAGATCTTTCTGCTGAAGATATGACACTAATTTGTCGCTTTCCCTTCCTTTCGATTACGTGCGGAACTTTACTCTGAATATTGTCAAACCTGTTTCATCGACATTGTAAATTCGATGAGGTGGATAATTATGTTTGCTAAACTCAGAATATAGCAACTCGAAACATCTGTCAACAGAGTTCTTATTGAAGCCCTCTTTCCTTGCAAAAGAAGTTTATGTCGTTTTTCGTACAGGTAACTCTGAGTGTCTTTTTAAAAATAGGCCAAGCCAAGATTTTCCCATAATGTCACTGAAAGCGTGCTTGATATCCTAAGTAGATCCTTCTTGTTAAAACAAAAAAAGTCGCCTCCATAGCTAAACAGTAGCGAACAAGTTGCTGCCCCAATTTCGGGCTGAAGACAGGTGGTCTTCCGTGTTTGCAATTAGCTCCTTCTTCTGGAGTGCCGTATTTTTCGTTATCTAGCTTTTTTAGTGTTTTCTGAGGCACATGAAATATCTTTGAAGCCTCCTTCAAACAGCCCATTTCCGTTTTCGGATAGTTGTTATAGCCTTAGTTATATTACTTGGGTCCCACTGTCGGATTTTACTTCCTTTATTATAAGAAGGTGGATGCCGTGACGTATTTCTAACTATCTTTGGACTTACACAATAAAAAACAAGAAAAATAAAATCAGTTAAAAGAACTTTGACTCAGTTAATGGCACTCAAGCCTGTCGGTTTATAGAACACCATAATCCTTCATTCCTACGCTTGTTTCACTAGCAACGATTAGTAATTAGCGAAAATGCTGTAGTGATTTGAAAAGTTCAATATTTGAATAACAAAATAGTTTAGTGAAATAAATTTCTTACCTGCGATTTCTTAGAACAGTGAGCTCTTGAAGATTGCAGAACGAAAATTTCAGCACGAACTAAAACCAACCACACTTCACTACAACACAATACAAATTGAGAACTGGTTTCTGCAACGTTAATTCCAGCTACAGCACATAATATAACAGGTTCATGTTTTGTCTGAGTGGAGCACACTATGGCGGAAAAACACTGGTATGTCGGTTTTGCTACCTTTCCTTTACTTTAGTGTATGCCAGCGTTTCAATGATCAGGTAGTGAAAGGCTATTAAACCTAATTAACAATCCTATTTAACTCAAAATTAATAATAAAAAAATACTTAATTTTGTAACAGCAAACACCGAAAAATAGAGAATGCATTTAATTTTTTTAAACCTAAAAGGAAACTGTGTAAAAATTTATTTTCCATATTTTACGTCAACTAAAATAAAATTATACACAAACATCTTAAACTAGTTGAATTTAATAAAGTATCTGAAATATATGCATCTAAGTTAACATAAGCATCAATATACCGAAATACATTTCGTTTTTAAGTCATATATTTAAAATAATATTGGCTATTATAAAAAACGTTCATTTTAAAAAGGTTCAGTTTTTAAAGTTCTCTAAAAAAATTGGGACGCAGTTTTCCATCATTATATGGCTATTTATTTCAACTCAATTTATTATATATGTATTTCTGCAAAACAAATTACCTTATCACTTGTACTAGGATATCGGAAAAGCCGAACGCATCCATTTTTGTCCCCGGCTGCTAAAAGTTGTTTGGAGTTAGATACGTTACAGCAAACATGCACAGCATCTGGGATATGTTTATTGTTCCACATTCCTAAAATGAAAAGCATTACAAAAATGAAAATTGCTTCAATTTTCTCAGAAAATATTAAAAGAGATTTAGACAAATACGCATGAAATATAGATAACATGGTTACTGATGTTTCACAATAGCATAGCTTCTCAATTTTACTGCAACTACTATTTCACGTGACAGCACTTAACTTTCTAGAAAAACAGAATTTGCGTTTACTGCTACCAATATTTTGATTTGTAACAAGGAAAAGAAAGGAAATTTGAAATAACCATTTACGCAGTTTCGTACGCATATTCAGGTAAACTCTCTTCACAAAAACATAACTTGATATATTTTAAAGCAGAAGTGAAATTTTTACATTTGCTTCGGAACTAACATAAAGAATAATGCTACAAACTAAATTGTTTCCATATTTGTCAATTTATTATTATCTTCTAATTTATCTTTGAAAATTCTAAAAGACACTTGATTTCAGTATCTCTAATATGCTTGTATTGACAATTTGCAAACGAATGTACATTCTTTTAATTTATTACTTTTATTAAATTATAAATATTAAAAATTTTCTACCTTTATGCATTTTATAAAAACGAAATAAAATGAATAAACAGAATATTTTCTGCAGAATAGCGTATTCTAATTATTCTGTTTAATTGTCACATCTATTAATATTCTGCAATCATTTATAGGGAACTTTGATATAAGAAATTAGCTGCATCCTCCTGAAACAGTAATTTAAGTATTAGGGTAGTTTAAAATATGCGTTTCTAAACATTTTTATGGCCTGCACTTTTAGGAAGTATTTGATTAGTATCCACACAGCCGACCAAAGTTCGATAATTCCATAAAGCATATTGGCCTCTGGAACTTGTAACTGATCAAACGACTTCACAAATATTCTTCACATTGTTGCATTCTTGAAATTTCATCTTGCATTTGCCTGGGAAGAGGATACCTAAATTTGTAAATCCCAATTTTATACCTTTACGCATTTAAGTTCATTACGAACATTAATAATGGAATTATATGTAACATATTTAATTCTCAGCAATGTGACGAATTCAACTGCATTATTTCAAAAGTAAATTAAGGTGAAAATAATAAGAATCCTCATTATTCGTTCGAACTAAGAAGTAAACGAAAGAAAGTTACCTATTATTACTATGAAATCAAAGAAAGAATTAAATGCAATAAAATGAAGAACATACCTCTACCTCTAATAAGAATTATATAAAAAATAATAGTGCAAACTCGTGCAAGGAAAATTTTTTACATTTACATTCACTAACACTTTAAACATCACATAACCTATAGATGATGGGTAATTTAATCCAAGATTTCTCCTCACCAATATCTGATTGACGGCTTTTCTCATCTATTAGATGATTAGAGACTACTATATAAATAACTCGCAGATTTCTTTCACAAAAAAAGACGTATTTAACAATAACAAAGTACAAAATCATATATAAAGTATGTAGAAGCGCTTAAAAAACTAATAAATAATAAATCATTTAAAAATTACAGGCGTCTCCTCTGGTATTCTTTAAAAAATTAAAACTATAGAGTTCTAGGATATCAAGTGAGCAACCTGTTACTTTTTTTATCTGTAGATTTGTGACGATATAGCCTTTTTTTTTTTTTTTTTCTTCTCAGTAGCAAAAATCAAGTGCCCGTCTGTTTTTTCCCCTCCGACGTTTCTTTAATAATCCGATTGTGTTTTTCATTAAAGTAATGTCACTGCAGGTCGACATTACATTAAAAACATAGCAATTTCATCAGACTCAAAATCTGGATTTAAATTTTTTCATTTACATATTTTTACAAATAAAATACGCATTTAAGGCAAAAATATTTAAAATTAGATAAAGTTTTAACTTGCGATGTCTTTAGCTTTCCATGGTGCTCATGAAAACCTGACATTTCGAATTATGCGAATTTTCCTTAATTATACCCAACAACGGCTAATAACTTAAATTTTGAAGTCTACCAATGATGAATGAATGAATTCGAACTCGGTATATTTTATTAAACGATCCATAAAAAGGAATAAAATTACTTGCCCGCAATAAAGAAAACTGAAGTTCTGAATGACTTAAAAATTCATATTGGTAGTCACTGTTTTCCAATAAAAAACACATTAAAGAATTCATTTGGCTTCACCGCTTAGACTAACACTTTAGGAAAACGGGTGAAATATTAGCAAATATTTTATGTACCAGCGTGACGGCCTGTGGCGAACTACTGATTTGGCTCCACTGAAAACATGTTCAGTTTGTAATGGGAGTTCAATGCGCTTAAGGAAATTTAAAATAATTCACGTGGCAAAAGTTTTGGTGTCTGAAATATAATTTTAAAGCATTTAATCGACTGAATGATGTAATGGGTTATCTATCTATAAAGGAAGACATTTTTAATATTTTATATAACTTATCTTAAAAAGCTCATTTAAACTCTGAGTGTTGTGTCTGATGCGCTTAATTTTGCAACTCAATAACGCAAACTTCTTTAAAGTGCGAATGATATCCATTCTCTCTCGCTGTTTCGCCTCACAAATGAAAAGCCAGAGGGCTACCTTTAATCTTTGTTCTTAAGCATTTGAAGAAAAAAGAATTTTTAGTTTTTGTAACTCCATTTACAAAGAAAATAGTGGTATAAAATTATGCTGAGTCTGCATCAATCATACATAAGCCTTTAAACCTTACTAACCGAAATTTGTACAGTAAATAATATATACACGAAATTTCTCTTGGAATTTGGCTATCATGATCAGAATAACACTCTTATGTATTCTATGGAAATACTGGCTATTCTGTTATATTATTAAAAAAAAGGGTTTGTTTCGATTTCTTACGACGTTTTTATAGCTCGATTGCTTGAAGAATTACAAATTTTTTCAATACCTTTCCTTCATTTTTCCTGAGCTTTTTGGGCCAGTTTTAAATAAGAGATTTTAAATAAGTGATTTTTTTTTTTTTTTTGCTTAGCCATCTTGGATGCTTTCTCTTTTAAGACAAACAACTAAAAACGACGCCCTGTTTGACACTTGTTACCTCTTCCATAAGATGCCCCCAACCCAGCACCCCTTTTCCGGAAAGCCATCAATAGCTTAACAACAAGAAAGTCCGGGCTCTTTTTATGGTTTGAATTCCTTTGTTATTTGTTGCAGAAGATTAGTTAAATTTTCTAGTAACTAGTGCAAGGTTCTTTTGAAATTTTGGCAATCTTTTAGGCGTCTGGAATTTGGGCAGTTCATACATACCGCCGAACAGAAGGGTATGTTTGATTTTTTCAAAAGTTTCATTGTTTTCTGGGTATAATATTTATTTCCTTATTGAGCAAAATTAGCACCAGAAATTGCTATTTTTTACTTTAACAGGATTTTTAGTTCACAAAAAGTTGGTTTTTATACTTCATTTAAATGAGCCAGTCCTTGTTTTTGGATTTATATACAGCACAAAATCCGTAATCCAGACTCGTCGTAATCCGGATTATAGATCATCAATTTAATCTGGTAAGATGGCATGCAGAAATTATACAATTAAAAATATGAAACCGTAATTTATGAAATAAAAAGCAATTATGATCTAAAGGATATCAAAATTTACAAAAAAAAGCTTAATATTTATTTGTTTACTTTATTGAACATTTCTTTCAATGTAAGTTGTTTAAGTTGCTACTTTTTTTGGTGCGAAACGCGCATGCGTAACATTAAACGCGCATGCGTAACATTAAACGCGCATGCATAAACGCATTGCGCGTATGCTTAAAGCATACAAAAAAGTTTGTGGCTTTGAGGTCCGGATTATAGATCATTCCGGATAATGGACGTCCGGACTTTGTACTGTAATAGGGACAACACATGAATATTTTTTGAAAGTTAAATTGTTTATTTAATTCTGTAAGATATATTATTTTTGTATAGTAATAGTATCTTTAGCCTTTTTATGCCCCATTGATAATTTTTTAGATAATTTTGTTGCATTTATGTATAAATTTAGTACTCTAGGCGGGCGAAAACATTTCGGGAAAAGAAATGAATTTTATGCTGCTGTTGAATTAAATTACGTTTGTAAAGAAAGTTGGATTACTTTAAGGCGGTTTAAAGTCTCAGTGGATTCATTGGAACAAAACATATTTTTTATCCCTCGTTAATCAACTTGGTTTAAGCTTCAAAGCACTTTTCCCTTGACAAGTTCTGCTTGAACCATTAAACAAAGGAGATTAATAAAATTTTTAAAAACTTTTATTTTTTTGTTTTAAATCTGTACTAATTTCAAGTTTTTTATAAGCTTTCCTCTTTTCAAATGAAATTTTGTTTTCATTTGGTATTTTTCTTTAACTTGCGTTTTACGAGTTTAACTTGTTACATGGAGATAATGGGTTTAGCCTTCAAATATTTAATGCGGCATTTTCTTTTTCTTCCCGTTTTTCGAAATTTGATTTATTATTTTCAAAAATTTTCAAGCACATTGCGCAAATTTGTGTCTAGGTTTTTATTTTAATTTCCTATTGTTCTTTAAAACATTTACATACATATATATAATTCCTTTACTAAGTAACATTGATTATATTATCTCCTAATAGTTAGCAGAATGTATCTAAATGAAGTAACCCAGAAGAATGAAATTTAATCCCTAAAATAATAGAAATTCAAACTTTTAAATAGAATATTAATAAACCAAGTAATTATCGTCATAAAAGTCTGGACGCACACATGCGACGCGTTTCAATAGCCGATCCAATGCACCCATGTAAAACCCCGCATTTACCGTTTTCCCTTCAGTAACGAATTCCTGAAGAATCAATCCTCTGCAATCTTAATAAATAAATAAATAAAACTATTAACATTGTCGTCAGCACAGATTTTTGAAAACGCACTTTCTAAGACTATGACGAGTTTTGGCCAACCTTGCACGCTTTCTCTTCGTTTCTTTATCGCAGGCGAAGCACCACGGTTAATCACCTGTGGTGATTTTTTTTAAAGTCTGGATTGGGATTTCGCATGGACAAACTACCACTAGATCATCCCTTTGTTTTGTTGTTAATGAATACGGAACAAAATGTTCACACAAGTTCCATTTTCCTAAATCCTCAAAACTTATTGTATGGGCACTTTTTTTTATCAATGTTTAAATGCTCTGCAAGCATCCTAATCATTGATGGACGATCTTGATTTAAAGCAGCACGGGCAGCTTCGAAATTCGGCCAGTCCGGCTTGTGCGAGGACGTCTTGTTCTACTGCCAGCTCTACCATCTAAAAATCTATCAAACCATATAAAAACACGTTAATTTGCGACAAACACTCTTCACCGCAAGCAATATGCATCATTTGATAAGTTTTGCCACTTTTAAAACAAAACGTCATCGCACATCTCTCATCCAAATGAGATTCCATCACAAACATAAATAAGATTCAAATGCCAAAAGATAACTGTCTTCTTAACAACTCATCTTAATGCCATTAGCAGACGAGAATCAAAATACTTTTTACTATATAGTTCCCTTTGTTGGAAACAGGTAGCAACTATTCAGATAGTTAATATTCAAGCAATCTTATAACGTTTTAGCCAGACTTTATATATGTATATATTCTCAGTTTCTTCGGTTAATCTTAGGAACATATAGTCTTCGTTATCAGAATCATTATCATTAGTAACATCATCTATCCCAACTAATTCATCCAGCAAAACGTTTTGGACCCAGGACATATCGTCTTGTACATGTTGTCTAATTTTGTGATGCTTTAGTTCTGACGGTAGGTATATTTTCTTACTCTTTTTTAAGGAATAATAAAACTTTCTTCTTTTGAAGAAGCTGATGATTTCGATTATATTAGAAAATAGCTTCCTCGGGAATTTCATATTTCGGTTTTCTAAATATTCCTTTGCGGTTTACCGGTGCTTTTCCATCAACGACGAACTCGCAGTTCTTCCGTTAACTCTCAGTTTTTCAACCCGATTTTTTATAGTGTCACAAAATGAAGCAAAGGCATTTATATAAACTTGCACATCATTACATCGCCCATCTTAGAAACAACGCACTCGATAAGAATAAGATGTACTTTGTGAAGATCCTTCATTTCGCAAATAGAACCTCGGCACATCACGGGCAAAAGCGTTAAAAGCCCAGCGAGATATTGATTTTGGGTATTATAATTCTTTAGTTCATTAAAATGTTTGAGAATTCGTTATTTTTGATTATCATAAATCAAAGAAAAACTCAGAAAAAGCTTGCACTTTAGGTTCAAAATCATGTGCTTGCTCTTAAAACGTTCATAGCCTCGCTGGTTCTCCCTGTTTTTTGTCTTCGTCTTCTTGGCAGAAAACTCGGCCACTGAATCACAGCCTGCACTGGAAGAAAGTCATGGAACTCATGGACGAAACCAATAGGTCGTCGTTATAAAAGACAAGAACGGCTTTATCATGCTTATTCGCATCATGCTTTTTGCATGATAAAGGAAGTTGGACATAAATGATTCTTCGCTCTTGGAGCGTGAGCAAAAAATGTTTTTCTCCAGGATGCGAATCTTCCCTTCGTTATGATTACGAATATGAATACATTTCCTCCTGAAGAGATTCATAATGTAGAAGCTATTCCTATTGCCCGCTAGATAGCATTATTACTTCAATCTTTACAAAAAATAGACATAATAGTTCTCCTCTCCCTCTTAAAATGCTATATAATATATACCTTGAAAATGCAAGATTTTAATTACCATTTATTTTGTACCCTAATGTGCAGTTTGGCTTGTACCACTCCAGCTCTTTCAGTTGGGAGGCACTATGTAGCTTCTCTTTTCTCTTTAAGTCCCCTAAAAATAAAAAAATAAAGTATAAATAAACCGATAGATAAACAGGCTGTCACATTAAAAGAAATGCATACATTCTTATCAAATGAAACTAACGAATACAAAACTAGTAGATGTTTTGGAGCAATTTATATTAAATTTATAATAATGGCACACAGTTATTCATAGAATTAATATCATAAGTTTTAAACTATATGTATTAGGAAGGACACAATGTTATTTAAGAAACGGTCTATGTTACCAAGAGAATGTGGCACACTAGCAGATACAAAATAGACAGAATTTTAGGAGTAATTTTCATTACATTTATATAGTACAGACGTAAAGTTCTTAATATCACTGTACTCTAATTTTAGTTAAATTAGCCTTCCTTTTTGTTTGAACAATAACCTCAAGGATAAAGAATAAAAGAAGTGGAATTCAGAGTGCATAAACCGAAATCTGACCATACTAGTACCCCTGTGCTAGTAAGAGATTAAGAATGTTAGTTGTACGGATTGGCACTAAAGATATACTAAGTAGAATAGCATTTTTTTTTTGGGGGGGGGGGAGAAATAACTACATATAAGAAAAGCCAAATCTGTTCAAAACTTCGTATATATGGGATTTTTATTTTTATTTTTGCTCGATTTAGTTAAACAGGCTATTATTAGTTTCAAATTTATAGAACTTGAATTCATTCAGACTACAAAAAGCGGGTATCAGTCGTTCCTATGTTCTGCTGTAACTACAGCTAAATTGAATTTTAGCAATCCGTAAATGAATTCTTAAGACTGCTTATAATTGTTTATAAGTTATTATTGTCCACACTGCAAATACAACTTGTTCTGAATCATTTATGATTAGCTTTTAGAAAAATATCATAGTTCGATGCTTGTAATTTAAAAATAATAAAATAGTTATATAACATAGTATTTGAAGAGTTTATACGTATTACGTATGAGAACAGCTCATCAATCTACTTTTTATAAAGTGCACACATTATGAAGCATTTCTGCATGCTTTTATGAATCTCCGGAGATTTTAAAAGCAGTTTTATTTAGTTCCTCTGTTTGCTTTGTAAAGACTTATTCAATTTTAAACTAAACAGTTTTCTTAAGTTATTTACCTTTTCTATTGTCTCTCTGTTTAACTTAGGCTTAGTCTTAATTTTATATTTCTATTTTGAGTTATAACCATAAGTATTGGCTAAGTTTTGTATAAGCACCAGTAATGTCGACTCTAAATACTTCCATGAGTTGAATAAAAGGGTATTATCACCCTTTGTACGTTTTGTTATTGATGCTGTGTGAACTTGTCGAATAGTCGCTTTACAGTTCAAGTAAAGATCTAGCCAATAAAGTAACTTTAATTTAGATAAAATCTTACAGCTTGAAGCAAATTTTAATGCTTGGTTGACATTCGTGATCCGTATTTATTTGTGAATTATAGTTGCCATTCATTATATAAGAATTCAAAGAGCAGGTCGCGAATTTCTTCTCTTGAAACTTTACTTTTCCAGACTTGTTCTAATGTTATATTTCAGAGGATTTATTTTTTTATCTATCCAATGTCTATAAAATAAAATAACTGAATTGCATACAAATTTATATCATTCCGTTCAGAAATCTTTTAACAGGTTTTTAAATTAAACAGTTAATGGAGATAAAGTATAAAATTAAGGATATTTTTTCTTTTAGCAATAATAATTTAACAGCAAATAAAATGTGCAAGTGACGCTTTAAGTACGTTCTTAGCCAAGAATACGACGATCAAAAATTCGTTTGGAAAACTTACAGTTTCCTTTTTATGGAGTTCCTATGAACATCAATTCACTTGGTTGAGTACACTCTCTGCTTCCTGAGAAGGCGGCATTTATCATACGTATGAAAATAAAATGCCTAACATGCAGTGCCATTTAGACTAAACACGTTAAGACGTTTAGACGCCCTAAGCACGGTACCCGCTGCCAACATTTAAATAGTTTTTAACAAATTCTTTCACCCTCGATCTTGTTTAACTGCGTCATTATATTCCATAGTAAAACAGGCAGTGACAAAGTTTGGTGGCGCCCCCTTTCCTTAATGCCTTAAGCATGTGCTTATTTTGCTTGATGGTTAATCCAGCTCTGCTAACATGCCTTTCCTTATTTATAATAATCGAATCGGTGCCATCGAAGATGTTTCCTTTTACTGTTAAATCCAAGACTCTTTCTCCAGGTATGAGTTGTAAAAGATCGTTTCATCAGCACTTTATTTTGATGGGATAAGCCTTCATAACGGTGCCCATCATAAAGAGGTCAGCATCTTTATGCAAATAAGCCAAAGTTTGTCAAGACAGAAAACTTCACACGGATGGTCTGAAATAAATATACTCGCATTTTTATGGAGATCATCTTTTAATCCGAAAAAAATAACCTTAATAAAGATGCAGGCACTCTTATACTGAATCATAGCTTTGAAAATAGGATTTTTTTTTAATTTTTTTTACTCAGAATAGTAAATTAAAACTCTACTTGCATGGCAATCTGCATTACAGCGCATCAAAGCGCCAGAATCTTTATAAAGCTTGCTTTTTTTCAAGTTAAAAAATTGAAGCATGAGAGATCCTCATGTCCGGCTAGCATTTCGAATGACCTGGTGAACAATTTCTGAGTTCCATAAAATGCTGGGACGAGGCACGGTTATAGGGTTACGTTAACGATCCCAAAGGCCAATACACCTCTGAGTAACCGTAGAAGACAGTCGGATAACTTTTCACCCATAACGAATGCTAGTGAAATGTGTCATAATTAAAGTTTAAAATAAAACTATTTATTAATACTTCGACCTGATAGTACATAAATTAAAAGAGGGAAAAAATACGATAGTTAACAGACAACGGATATCTCTGAATGAGAGAAGGCTCAGACTGTTAATATCATTTGCATTTTTTAAAGCATAGGTAAACAGAGCGCTGCTTTGAAATATTTGATGTGTTTTCTTCAAAAGAACAGGATCTGTATTTCTGAACCTAATTTTAGGGAGAAAATGAAAAATCATTGTGAGGAATATATACTGACAAATTTATTCTCCGCAAAATGTCTTTTGCAAAACTGGCCCAATTTATTAAATTTATTAATTATTTAAGAAACTGTTATTAGTTCTCAACGATATTTAAAAAAACATTTGAAATTTTATATACAAAATTATTATGATATTACAGCTGCACAGAATATGGAAAAAATTAGTCATTGACTTATTATTTTTAGAATTCATTAACACGTCTCTCTGTTGTTTCTCATTAATTCGCTATTAAAAGAAGAAAAAAAATTATCCTATTTTCATACTCTAAATATTTAACTATCTAATATACAAATTTTATGAGTTCTTTGCGATACGTTATTTGTATAACGTGCATTCAAAACAATTTCCTTTAAATGTCGTCATCGAAGGCATAGCTTTCCTTTAGGTTTATAGCCTTCATGTGCTTTCCGAATTCAAATAAACTAAGAGACTACTATATTAGAATTAATTGTATAATTAAAAAATTATAAAACAACAGAAGTTTCTTCAGGTTCCAACCATTATCTTTGCAATATTAATATTTTATATGAAAAGTGATGTACTTTAGATTACTATTGTTTAATAGTCAAAAACAGGAATTCAAAAAGTTCTTACAAAACACAATATCGTGATAATCACTATCCGTGAAGACTGCCTGTACATATGCTCCATCTACTGACCAGTCCAACATCAACACGGGAACGCTACCCTGAAAAAATTAATATTTGTTAGAATATTTTACATAACGATTTAATGTAAAAAAATTGATAGACAGTTATACTATAGTAGTTTGCTAAGTTAAGTAAAGCTACCTCGAGTTTTATCAATATTCTACTTTTCACAACTAATCTACACCTTCGTAATTTATGCAAAAGTAATTTCCGTACATCCAGCGGCAGCCAATAGATTCCTTGTCTGATACACAAATGGGTGAACGATTAAATCCTCAGAACCACAGTAGCTCTTTTAGGTACCTTAAGCCTAAACAAAATGGCTCCATGAAGTTTTCATGGTTTATCATAAGGAATGCATAAATACACTCAATTTTTCTTAGACATTCTTTTAATAAGACATTCTTGTAATTCTTCTCTTCCTCCCTAATAAAGCCGTCTTGTATAAGACATGCACCCAGAGATACAGGGTTACTCAAAAAGAAGACGCAGATTTTATATGCTTTCACAACAATAAAAGATCATCATGGGATAAAAGTTTCCATGCAAGCTCCTCCTGTAAAATTAATAAATATGAAGACGATAATCAGTTTCAGACTACTATCACACTGATGTATTTCTACGTATTTTCTTATAGCGAAACAATTTTCCAGTGCATTGCAGCAACAATTCGCTGCTAAAGTGCGTATGGCGAAGGCACGTCTGCAACATACAACATTAAACAAAATATAATTTTTATTACATTAATTAAAGCAATTATATTAAGAGAAGTTCATATATCGTGCAAAACATTTTATGGTATTCTACCCCATGAAAAATTCTTTCCCTAAAATAAAAATATGCGATTACGAATTTTTAATTATCATTCAACAAAATTCACAAATAAAGTAAATTAGATATACACTCATGTCCATAAATTAAGGATAATTCAGAATCACGCGAAAATCGAACTCTAAAATAAATACATCACCTTTAAAATCACTACACACATCTTCAAGAATCATATGCAAATTTCAGGAAGTACTAGATGACACCGATGGTACGTCAGAATGACGAGAGTGTAAGAGAGTGATATATAAGGAATACAGGCAAAGACGTAAAATTGTTCGCAGGCGCTTTATAAGCATTTCACTGCAATAACCGAATAGTTATGACACAAAGGACGCATTTGGATGATTTTTTACGTGGTAGAATTATCGGCCGTCTGGAATGTGGGCGTACCCAGCTGGAAGTATCAGACGAACTTGCAATTGCCCATAGTGTCATCTCCAGGCTTTGGCAACGATTCCAGGATGATGGCAATGTGAGTAGACGTTACAGCACAGGTCGCCCCAGAGTTACAACGCTGAATGAGGACCGGTATTTGGCAGTTACTGCCAAAAGAAACAGGCGGGGCACAGCCTCAGACCTGTCTCGTTAGCTCTCTTCAGCCACTGGTACGACAATTTCAAGGCAGACCGTGTCCAGACGCTTAGGGCAGATTGGTCTATATGCTCGTAGACCTGTCAGATGCGTTCCACTTACTGCAACTCACTGTCGCCTGCGGTTAGCCTGGAGTAGAGAGCATGCATTGTGGACACCGTAACAGTGGGCTTTTGTGATGTTTTCCGAGGAGTCCAGGTTTAGCTTGCAGTCTGATTCTCGCCGGACTTTCATATGGAGAGCTCAGGTACCCGTTACCACCAAGAAAACATCATTGAACGACACCGTGACGGTGGTGCAGGAGTGCTCGTTTCGGGTGGAATTATTCTGGGTTCCAGAACTGACCTGCGTGTTCAAATTGGAACCATGACAAGCCAAATCTATCGGGACGTCATTCTGGAACAACATGTAGGTTTGTTTCGGGGCGCCATGGGCGCACAATTTGTGTTTATGGGTGACAACGCCCGTCCTCACCGTGCAAACATCGTACGTGAATGCCTTCAATCGGAGGATATCACCCGTATGGACTGGCCAGCATTCTCACCGGACTTGAATCCAGTAGAGCACGTGTGGAACATGCTTGATCGAGGAGTTGCAGCCCGTCAACCTCCTCCTACATGTCTACCGGAACTTCGGAGAGCATTGCTTTTTGAGTGGTGTAACATCCCCCAAGATCAGATCGATAATTTGATACTCAGCATACCTAGGCGTTATACGGACTGTATTGCATCGTCTGGGAGACATACAATGTATTAACAATCATACCAACCATGTAATATTGGTTTTTTGTAAATAGGTTTTTTTGTAATTTGCTCCAGGGAGAAAAAATAGCTAATTTTTTTAATAATATCAAACATATAGCATCTTTTTTTGCTCTTTACCTTTTGTTTAATAAATAAGCGTTACAAATAAATCAAATTTGTTTTGCTTCTAACTTCCTTTGCCTGATTTTGCATTATCCCTAATTTATGGACATGAGTGTATACTTCAAAGACTTTAGCAGTGAGGAGCAATCTTCAGTGGCTTCAGGAACCGAGACTAATTCAACAAGAACTGCCATTCTGCGACGGTAGTTGAACCAGGCTAATAAGACTCTAAAAGTTGTCTCTTCTTATTGTACGTGTATAGTATATGAATTTCATGAAGTACTAGTTGGCTAGTTTCTGTTACATTTTGGTTGTTTGCTATGTAGCTTTTAATAAATCTATTATGCAAGTTTTGCTTCTTGTCCGTGTTCTTATAGGTTTAGACTTCTAGTAAGTGCGAAGATGAAAATTCCTCTAAAGCGCAATAAAGTTAAAGAGATGTAATGGAATAGCTGATTAGATTTCTCCTTAGAACTCTGCCTCTAGAATAGTAATTATAGACCAATAATTTGTAAATGATATTATTTTTATTTTTAGACCAGTTTTTTTATTTTTCAGATACAGAAAGAAGAATCTTCGGAGTTTATTCAACACTGAGGAAACTTATGCATTAAGATTAGAAGTATCTGATATTTATAAAGAGTATCTAATTTATTCCATAAGCTTCTATACAACAGTTACAAAAGAAATAGCTTTATTCTGTTGAAGTATATTACTGCCAATACACACAAACAGAAAATATTGAAAAATAAAAATTCTTTTATCATAATGATTTATCATATTTTACTGATTCAAGCTTTCTTTTTTACAAGCGATAGCGTGAATCAGTCGGAGATATTCAGTATCTCTTTAAGGAATAAAAATAATACTTTGTAAGGTATATTTTAATTTTATAACAGTTATTTTAATTCCAAAGTTCTTTCCTAGCAATTCTTGTTTCCACCTTCAACTCCCTACCAGAATGAGTTTTTAAAATCGCGTTGAATGCAAATTAATTAGAAGCAGTATTTAAGGAATGCTCAACTGATATCGTGAGAGAGAGAGCTAGGAATCGTGAGTAGCGCGTATTTGCCTTCGAGCTAAATCTCTCTTGAAGCTGTTACGCTTGGCCGTATATTACGTGCCTTTTGATATTCGCTGGCTAGTTTAAATTACCGGCCAACTACGTTAGATACATGTTACAGTTAAGCCTCTTAGTTGGTAATAGTTTAGCTCTTATTTCTTATTTTGAGTTCAAGCCCGAGTGGAGGCTTTGTTTTAAGCCCGAGTGGAGGGGCCAGTGACATAGCAAGCATAACTGGCGCCCGGGGCAAAATACCTTTGTGACGCCCCAACCCCACACACAAAAAAAAAACTTTCAGTAATATAATATATAGAACATATTCGTAATAAGAAAATAATGCAAATAATAATAAAATGCTGAATCTGCCATAAAATACTAAAAAATATCTTCAGAATAGTCACTACCTAACTACACTAGGCTTGGATTCGGAAATACATCTGCGGCTAATCAGACATACGATGATGTAGAATTAGTTAAAAAGGTGTTATTTATTTTACATATTTATATAAGTGTTTTTAAAAAGTACATTTTTTAAACAATTAAAAGTTTAATATACATTATAGATAAATAGATATGTGGCAACTTGCCTACTACAACTCAACTCTGCCAGTCTGGTAACCCATAGCAACCAAAAACAAAATAATATTTATTCTATTCAATTGTTATAATTATTTAACGATCTGTCTAAAAAAATTGTACTTCCATAATTGGTGACCCGTATTTATTACGAATAGCAACCTTCAATGTTGCACGAATATGGAGTTTATATGTCAAAATTCTGAGCAGCAGTAAGTTATCCATTGTGATGAGATGCAAGTAAGACATTTCACCTGACATTTCAAGCGTTGTGCCGCATTCCGGTGAGTCAACATATTTCTGTCATAATTTCAGCGGATATATGTATCGTCTGCTGCATTTGAGCCGCCAATTTCTCTGATTTCAAGTACCAAGAAACTGTGTCACTATATACATATTGATTATTTTTCTATACATATTATTATTGTGCATATTCTATACATATTATTATTGTGCATATTCTATACATATTATTATTGTGCATATTTGATTGATCTAAAGTGGTTGACAACGATGCTGCTTCACAATTGGCACGAGTGGCAGTTAAGCCACGCCCTTTTGTCGCCGAGACCCATCGTTATAGTTCATTCAATTGGATGCGCGTTAAGTCACATTACTGCCGACGAAACTTAATTTTATACAGCGATTGCCGCCGTTATCACATATGGCTACAGTCGCTGCTAGACGGGACTTTTCTGAGAAACGAGATTCTGGTAGCACTGGTTTAAATGGGAGGATTCCTAGAAAAAAAGAGATCCGCTGGTAGCGAAGTCCCGCCTAACTATAGAAAAATGTTGCGGCTACGCGTAATTTTTTCAAATCTCACCGAAAATGTCTCGGCTGGATCTCAGTCCCAGGTACAGACAACCAATCAGACGAAAGTTCTGCTTCTGAAAGCTCACGTGATCCCATTTTGAGAGATAAACGATTACTGTTTGGCGTTCAAGGTCTTTGTAGTAAGTGAGAATGGTAATCTAGCTACGTGTGTTTCTTGTGCGGTTTTGAGAATCGTGAGGGTTTTGAGAATTGTCCCTTTCGACGTCAAGTCCCACGTAGCCGAAACATAATATGATTGGGACCTTAGAATCAGAGGTACTGTAATCAGCTCGTGAAATAATTTTGAATCCACCGGCGACGGACAAATACAAATTTAAAAAAAAAATTAATTTCTGTTTATGAAGAATCCGAGACAGTTAAAATCAAGCAGTTGTTGCACGATTTACGGTTGGGTGATATGAGCCCACTGAGGAAATGTTATGAAAGCCCTCCTACGGGTATTTGTTTTTGCCACCAAAAATTGGGAAACAAGGCAAACAAATGCCGCTCACCGTGTCGTTAAAACGACCAGGGAAACGAGAAAGCCTGTAGCTCGAAGTTGTGAACGACAGCGGCCGGAATTTTGCAAGCCTTTTCGTCATCGAAAAGAATTCGGCCTTAAGGTTTCTTGTAGACGCCACGGCTGATGTTTCTGTCGTTCCAACACATTTTTCACGAACAAAAGCGCCTTACCAAGTTACAACTTTATGTAGCAAATGGAACTCCTATTCAAACTTTTGGTGAACGCCTGATATCTCTTGATTTAGGATTGCGCTGCAACTTCCAATGGCCATTCATTATTGCTACTGTTTCAAGTCCTATTATTGGCGCTGACTTTTTTCAAAAATTTTCTTTGCTTGTCGATCTTAAGAATCGCCGTTTGATAGATTACACAACCAGCTTAACTTATCCGGGAGTAATTCGCAATAGTCAAGATTTGAGCATTAAACTGATTTCGGGTAACTCCCCATGGCATCAACTTCTCAGAGAATTCCCTACAAACACGCGCCCAGTTATGGGTATTTCCGAACCCAAGCACGATGTACTTACATTATATTGAAACTACCCGGACCTCCAATTGCCGCTAAACCAAGACGCTTACCTCCGGACAAGCTTAAAACCGCCAAGGGGGAATTTCAATACATGATGGAACAGGGAATTTGGAGTCCTTCAAAAAGTTCATGGGCCAGTCCGCTCTATCTAGTTCGGAAACGAAATGGTAAGTGGCGATTATCGCTGGTTAAATGCAGCTACAATTCCTAATCGTTACCCAGTCTCGCACATTCAAGACTGTATGCAGGTTTTAGAGGGAAAAGCTATTTTTACAACTCTTGATCTTGAGCGGGCGTATCACCAAGTGCCCGTTAATCCAGCTGATATTCCAAGAACTGCGGTTATTACGCTTTCGGACTATTTGAGTTTCCGATCATGACTTTCGGCTTATGCAGTGCAGCTCAAACGTTCAAACTCGGACTTTCACATGTTTGTTTTTTATACTCTTTCGAATAGAGGTGATTGTGTGCGTTAGGCAATGCATGCACAGATAATCTGCAACCGGAAAATCGAGAATACACTGTATACAGTTTTATATCTCATTAATGCAAAAGGTCGAAACACTCTCATAAGAAATAATTTAATACAAGTCTCTTGAATTAAATAAACCAAAATCTAATATAAAATGCGCATATTTTAATGAATGACTCATGCAAACACTGAACGGCGAAATGCTACACTGCATAGAAACTGTATCAAACTTAAAAGGCATTCTTTGCCATTATTTAGTAGTTATTATTTTACATTTTTATGACTGTTTTTGTTTATCATTATTAGGGTACAGAAGACCAGTGGTGAGTTTTCCGTTTATACTTTGTTGGTCATCCGCTACCATTTAAGAACAAAGAAATGTTACTACATATTATTACTTTCACTACGATAATCAAGGCTGGACAACATGAATTCCAGTATGTTGCATAAATGTTTTTTTCAAAATATATTACTGATTTTTACATATTTCATTCTTCTTCTTAATACAAAATATTGCAATTGGCGTGAACAGAAAGTCAGCGAAAACACACAAGGCACTGAACATCGAAAACAAATATGGAACAAAATTTTATACTAATTCTATCATTAGAGACTTAAACCCAGATTCTGATTAGCTACAATTAAAAATGCAAGCCAACACAAAAGAAAATTGCATTGCTGATGTTGTTATATCTGTTTTTCATTACTTACAGACAAAACAAAGTCAATTTTGTACATATAACCATTACTGTGCGTCTGAAAAAAGTAGATATTCCCATCTGAACATCCAACAGCAAGGGTATCACCATCTGCATAGAAAACAAAATTGGTTACAAAATGTTTTAAAATATAGTTCATTAATTTTCAGTCAAGACCAAAAAAAAAAAAAAAAAAAAAAAAAGATTATTTTACAATTAAAAGACAAAGATTTTATGGCAACACAATACATATATATATATATATATATATTTGATGTAAATAAATAGCATAATAAGAACTAATTTCTTATTTTTTTAAAACAGGTCTAGTCAAAATACGGCTAAAATGTTATGCACGAATCGCACATTCAGCTTTGAAACTTTATTTCCTTTATTTCGTTTCAAATAGAGTCGCATTCCATTCAAGGTTAAATTACTAGCTAAGATGGGACTGAACTTGCAACATTAAATTACAGTTGCAACTTGAGAGATTATATATGAGAATGGTTGTAAGGGCATGGAACAAGTAAGACATGATTTTAATACAGCATTGTTGCCACTGACTGCAGGAAGAGAAAGCATTTCTCAGTTTGAAGAAATGATTTTACAGTGGCTTTAACTCTTTTCCTGTAACTTGTTTAGTCATCACACAGTGCGATCAAATTATAGCTGTATTTCTGATATCCTAAGCAATGCAAATTCAATATTTCTATATGTAGCAACTTAGCGGTTATCGCTACGCTCTAATGGATAAATGAGAAGTGAAACGCTAAGCATAAATTTATGTATTTGGTATGTAGTATCACATGCATTTACTCATATACATTTTTTACAAACAGACTGACATTGATAAATACTCAAGCATTGTAGATTATGCAACAAATGAAACACTCAGTAGTGCTAGTCTGAAGAATAAACACAACTTTTTGCAGTATTAGACTATGAATTTAGAAGTGAACAAAAAGCGGCAACGCAACACTGGTGTATTTCTTAGTTTCAAGTGACTTGCGTGGAAAAGGCAGGGGTTATAAAATAAAGAAAGAGTATAGTGCAAGACACAGCTCCAACATTTAAAAAAATATATTAAAAAATAACAGTTTGAAATAAATTACTGACAATGCATCTGTCAAATCTTGCTGAAAGACATAAGTTAAATTCACTATCTGACACAAATGTGTATAACAGCTGGTCTTAGTGAATTATAAAATGTTTTTCTACCACAGATTTAATTCAATAAAATCGAAATACGGCTAAAATAGTCTAAAGTTTAATAGTTAAAAGTAGAGTCTAAAGTTTGCACGGATGAGAGAATATTGCATGGCAGGAAAAGTATAAAACTGCTAGAAAGTTTGAATGATTAATTTTCGTTGCTTATGCTTTCGGGAACAATTAAACAAAATGAACAATCTGTGCTGGTTGTCACTGAAATACATCACGGTTTTACAGTAAGAATATTAAGACATGTTCGATCATTCACTTCTCTCTACAGCATATGGTACATACAGATTATTTTAAAATACATGACCATTCGAAGAATTGGAAGGCACAAATGTCAGATAAAACATTATGGGTACTGAAAAAAAGTTTAAACTTTGAACATGAATAAAAAAACTATGTAATATAAGCTGAATGTCCTGCCACTAGGGCAACATGGCTCGAGTAATTTGTTGTAAATTCCTACTAGGACTATACCTTCCTGAAAAACGCCTAACATCAAAATGCTCAAAGAGAATTTTGCACCACTCAAAATCATGAATTTCATTTGTTGAAAAGGGTCAATGTCCTTAGGTTATTACAGCCTAAGTTCTGAAGATATCAAAATAAAAAAAGGCAATAATAATATTTTTAGTGATGCGCACGTTAAAATAAGTAGTAAATTATTCCAAGTCCCGATTAAATGGGGGTGGATTAATCCGATTATGAATTAACCAGACCTTGTCATAAAAAAGTTTAAATATCTTTATTGCGGAATCACAGAAATTGAATTATGACAAAAACTATCATAATAAAGCAAAATTTTTACAGTAAATGAAAGAAGAATATGCGCGAAGTGATTACCACAGTGATAGTCAGATGATGTCCCGACCTTTTGAAATTGTTCTTATTCACAACTATACGTAATTTAATTGTGCATACTCTGAAACATATTTAAATTATGCATTAAAAATAATTCGTTAAATGGCAAAATAAATTAAGTTTACAGCTATTAATCTTTCGTTTCCTATTGGCTCATATTAAAAATCAAAGAAAAATATAAACAAAAGCATTGTTTCTTCTGTTTTAAAATGAACTTTTGTTTTGAATGCTGATTTAATCCCCATAATTTAATTAAATTATTCTCCAAATTAAACTTACAGGTAAATTATTAATAGTACTTACTGGTAATTATAACACTGGTTATTCATTTTTTCTAGTTTTTTTTTTTTTTTTTTTTTTTTTTTTTTTTTTTTTTTTTTTTAATCGTGTAAAATAACCACAATTTGGGTTAACATGAACGTCGTCCCTGATAATGTTACATAGACTGAATGTTAATCAGGAATCTACTATACATGTAATGTCAAAAACAAGGCTCAGATACATGACTGGTTCAATTTTCGTTTGATAAAGTCTAAAAATGTACGGATGTATATAAAGAAAAAGATTAAAAAAGAGAATAGCAGATGAATAACAAACCTGGTGAATATTTTAGCGTGTAAAGAGGACTGTTAGTGACAGGTAGAGTTGTAACGTGAAGGCCATCTTCCATATTTAAGAATGTAACGTCCCCGTGTTCATCACCAACTGCTACAATACTGCCGTGAGGATGAATAGTTACTGAAAAGCATTCACTCTGCAATGAAAGGAATTACGTATAATTTGTTTATTTAAATCTGCAACATCAGTTTTCAAGAACAGTCATTCAGTCTGGTGAATGGGGAATATCATTCATTGAACATACCTACAATTTTATGAGTCGGCAATTCGCTAGTAAAATTTCGTACCGCAACCAATAAGAATTAACTATGGGCATGATAGAAGCAACATGGAATGCTATTCGTCAGGTACACATATCAAACGTGTTTGATTTAACACCATTACTAGTACAAACTTATATCGCAGCACATGTCTGTTTCCTCAAATACTGATTTTCGGCATTTAGTATTTTTGTAATGCACTCTAAATTTAATCATTTCTTTGTATAACAAGTAGTATATGGAATACATTTCATACAATTCTGGCGATTTCTTCGTGGTGCTGCAATAATCACGAATACAGTGCCCCTCACTTATTAAAATCACTTCCATTCCAAACATATTTGAATCTATTAAGCGGCTGGAATTTAATAAACATCGATTTGTGTACTGCAAATTGTGATATCTGTTTTAAACTTCTGTAATAAAATAAATACTTAAACCTAAAAATTAAATAATTATCCTAAAATAAACTATTTACGCAGAGTTAAAATTTATTTTTTTAAAATTATTTATCAACATATTTTTATAATTATGATTTTGGTGAAATTTTCAACTTTTACAAAAAAGTATTCTATCAATGTTTCTTTCACACAGTTCATCAACAATTTTCAACTGTATTACAATTTTGTAAAGCTGCTGGCAACACCTTTCGGTTCTTGGAATATGCAGTGTTTTTCTAGACACGATTGTTGCTTGCATGTCATCACTTTTTTCTGTTCCACTTTCACTATCAGTTTGTGGAGCTCTTTTAACCCCTTTTTCATATCAGTCTTCACATATCTTGTCTGAAAATTGTCGTTAATAGACATATATTATTCTAAAAATGAATCTTCATAGCTTCCCTCACTGATGTCTGAAACATTAGTTGTAACTAACAGTTCCTCTTAGGCTTCTTCTACATAAAAGCTGCATTTCGAAAGCAGTTTTATGCGTGTTTTAGGAGAATGACTCCAGCATTCACTTCAATATGCATGGTCTTTAGCACAGATGTCGACTGAATTATCTTTTTCGAATTCATTTTCACAAGATTCAGTTCTGTTTACACTTCTGTAATAAAACTTGCAAACTTTCATATAATAACCTGGTCTAAAGGCTGAATGTTAGAAGGTGTATTTGGAGGAAAGCAGTAACATTTTTCAGAAAGAAAGAGATATGTGTGTATGCTGCACAGTCATCTTACTAGCCAAGCTGTTTTCCCTTTTTTAGCTCGCTGTTCCATTTCAAATGAAAATCAGTAAAAATACTACTTGCCATCCACTAGTTCTAGTTACTATGTTAAGCTATAGATCTGTTCTTGACTCTTAAGGGTCAAAGTTTCTAGCTTTCAACAATAACCAGTACTGTGCTTTTAATTGTTGAGTACACATTGCATGTTAATAACAGAGTAACTCGTTCTTTCAGTTTCTTAAACTAGTTGCGGTTTCACATTTAAGCCCGGTTTACACTTCTCCGAGTGAGCCCCTCGTCCGAGCGTCTCGAACCGAGTGACGGATCTGTACACTGATAGATTGTTTACACCAATCAGAGCGGACTCACAACTCACCTCCGTTTGTTTGCAAAATGGACACGAACGAGTAAGTTGCTGTGCTTGAAGTTTGCGAAGCTGTTTCCAACGAATTAATTTCTGCTCTGGAATGGGGGGGGGAGAAGAAGAAAAGGTAATCAAAACGTGACTGTGTAGCTCGCCGTGATGAGTTGGGAGCACTGATTTAACTTTTAAATGAACTTTGCACGAGGATATCCAAAGTTACAAAAACTTCATCAGAATGAGTGAAGGATAATTTGAAACTTTATTGGAAATGTTCACTCCACTTATTCAAAATAAATAAATAAATAAAAAGTTCTTTCAAGATGCTCTGCCATCAAAAATAAACGCAGATAGCGCTTCGGTTTCTGGGGACGGGTGACTCAAACAGTTCTCTGCAATATTTATTTCGAGTGGCAAAATGCACAATCAGCATATTTATTCCAGAAGTGTTTGAGGCCATTTTCTGCGTATGAGGTCGAGTGAAAATTATTAACCTTATGGTTGAACTTTCCAACACCCTCAAATTTTAACATGTTAATAATAGCCTCATATGCCTTCTGTCGGTGATTTTTATTTTAATAGTTCAGACTGATCGTTTTTAAATAAAATCTAATTTGTGGTTCAAATAAAAACGAAAGCATATAAAAAAAATTCAAAATTTTAGATTATATTTTATTAGATGTAATTGGCTATGAGTAGAAAGTGGTTTTCCGAAATTTATATTAACAAAATAAAATAAATGTTTGCCCTTTCACTTATTTTTTAATTGAAAGAAACACTCATTAACTTGATAATATTTCAACATACATCACTTTGGACTTTCCAGACAAGACTGTTGATTTCCCATTTACAGATGTAGCGATCAAGACCAGCAGTAACGAAGTAGGCCTTATCCGGATGCGCAGCTAAAGCTCTGACGTCATCACAGTGACCCTGGAAATTAAATTAAATATTTTAAAACAAAAGAAATCAGAATTTATTTTTATTGACTAATTCGTAATAATATATTATAATTTTCAATGAAAATTCTCCACCTCTTGTTCTCCAAGTTCCGCATATAAATGTTTAGCTTTGTATCATTTAGTTTAACTAAATTTTCAATACTTAAATCATCAGCGTCAGTTCTGCAAAACACAGAGAATATAATTTTTGAAGAGGAAACACACCTGCGTCAAACTTACGAACACTCATTGTATGTGTGGCTACTTATGGGCTATTTGGAAAGTCGAACATTACTTTACTTTCTCTTTCAAAAGTCCTGATTCTGCAGAAGTATATTATTTGATAGTTAGTTCCTATTTAATGTAAACTATCTTATTTCCAAATATTCATAAAAAGAGATAGAATACAGTCTGTACACAGCAGTAAAATTAGCGCTTTTCCTTATAAGAATGGCAGTTATAAATTGTATTACTTAGCTTAAAGACAATGGTGACAAAAGCAACAGCGAAAAACAGTATTTAATGGATAAAGATGGAGACACTAATCACACCTAGTCAATCCACTCTACAACTAAATATTGCTCACAGGTAACATAATGCGTGTCGGATGTGACATAACACGTGGATCGAATCCTTATACCTCCCAAGAATTCGATTTAGGGATAATGAGAAAAAAAGAGGTTTCACATAATAAAGACATTTCACACAGAAGCGGAAGAAAGCATCCTTGAAAGCATACTGCACTTCGGATGGTTCTTTGCATGATATTTAGATAACGTCGCCAACCCATTGGATTTCTTATTAAAGATAACAAGCCACCTCCAAGCTCTAGCAGTTCTTCCCTCATTGCACAGGTCCAAAACAACAGACAGGCACATGGAAAACAATCAACAGGACAAACTGTTAGCATACAACCATCTTACAAATTTCACTCAGTTATCCTGATAAGGCATTAAGGAAAGTATGGATATTATTACGATTCTAATAAATTGCATTAAAGTCGTTGAATGAAACATATGTACAGGGCTTCTTTAATGGATGTGACTCATGTCAAAATCAATCGAGGGGCCCATTTAAAAAGATAATTTTAACGGTATTTAAAAGAAGCTGGGTAATTTAACAGTATTAAAAAAAGAATGTCTTTGTAGAAGAGAGTCTGAAAAAAAATGGTTCATATTTACATTACAGAAATGAGAAAAAGTCTCAAAAACACACACGCAGTTAGCTCGCTCATCAAGACTCAAATCCGGGTCGAACTACGAAGTTCAGCGGTCTTACCTACTCCGCTACAAGTCAGAGGCTGCGGATTAAATTTATTGGTATGTTACACTACAGTGCAAAAACAAAATGCAAAATTTTATAACTATAAAATAAATAGACACGTAATGATAATAAACGCATTTTGAGCATCGTAACACCTAATACCACATGTAAAACTCTTTTTAACTGTTTGAAATGCAAATAGCGAAAAAATATAACGAGAAAATGGATGTACATTGTTAGAAAAGAGAGATATGTCAAAGCGAAATTTATTCCCGAGCATGGACGAAATTCTGACAACGTTTTCGTATGCTCAGCATTAAGTCATCCAAGAGGTCTTGAAGCAAACTACTCCATTACTTGCTCACAGAAGAATGAAATCCTGCTTGCTTTATGAAGGGATTTCGAGCAGAACTGCGACACCCAAGTAGATGTATTCGAAGAGGCTAAGATCTGGAGAGCCTGTTAGCCATTCAATGCGATTTTAGTATGTTCGCTCTCCAGAAATAACTGCACTATTCTTCTATGATGATGTTACATACTGTTTTTCAAAACAAAAAATAAAAATTCTTCGCATTTAAACTCATGAAGCAATCGACGAAAACACTAAAGAATTTTATTACAGTACTGTCCATCCGTAAAAGATAAATGGTCAGCCATCAGTAACAAAGAGCATCCACTTACCATTATGTACATTCACATCAACTCTTCACAATCATGATAATAATACATATATACTTTTATGATGTGAACAACGAAAAATATTTTTCCATTTTCCTTTTTCACGATAACCTGAATATGCAAGAAAGAAATTATCCATCATCATTATAAGATGTTGAGAGTCGTAAACCACAAACAATCGAACGGATTATCTAAACTGCTAGTTCAGTAATCAATGAACCGATGTATAGAATATAGCGTTGATACTAGAACCGTAAAATCCATAACTGTAATCAACTTAAGCTATCACATTTTGGCTTGCTATCAGTCACGGAATTTGTATTCTGTAATACTTGTTCATAAGCCATGAAAGACAAATGCAATCTATGGACTCTGTTTTTGTTAGATACTGATATAATATGCAGCGCTGTGGGAGGAAAAAAAGAACACCCTCAAGCATATTTTTCTAGAATTAATATTATTTATTGTTTCAACTTACATGAACTACAGGATTCAAAGCCCAAATTACAGATCCTTCTAAGATGACATTCTTATTTGTGCCAACAAAAATTTCCCATTCGCTAGTGACAGTCTTCTGCGGGCACAGTGACGTCACTCCTCCAGACCCAGTTGGAAGCTAGAAAATAATTGAATATTCAGTTTATTCGACACAAAATAGTAAAAATGAACGAAAGAAATTTTTCTTTTTCCTTATTGTGTCAGAACAAGTAGCATTGATCCACTGGAAAGGAAAGTTTCATGATGGTCTATAACGTGTTTTCAAACTGTGTTCCTTTATACGCATTGATTTTCTTTGGAGATTTAATATGCCGAACTCATACACATGCAGAGACATCCATAGCAGTTTTTTTTATCTGGGTACTTTGAGAGTTCACTATTCAGACATACAATAATTAGTGACGCTGGGAAACTAGTTCTAACACATTAATATTAATTTTTAAAATATGTTATTAATTATCTACATTGCCACTAGCTTAAAGCAAATAATCTAATACATTTCTATTTTAAGAAACCAAACTGAATTCAATCCTGATCTCTTTTTATTTAACATTTGAGCGAATTTAATACAGATTTCTTAATATTTTATCTCTTTAAAATACGAAGGCTATTTTTTTATTCAGCTAGGAAAAACACAAAAATAAAAATGGAAATGGAAGAAAACATTTTAATTCATACATGTAAACTGTAATCATTATCTTTACCTCTCACAAGAATCCACGCCGCTAAATTCCCAGTTAAAAGTTTTGATGCAACGTGTCGTCAACTCTTAGTTACTTTTGCCATAAAAGCTTCCTACCCGGCCATTAAGCCAATTACGTAATTTAATGAAAATCATCATCACTCTTCAGAGATTCCCCCAATCTTTTTCGTCACATACATCAATCTGCTCGTTCTTCTTAAAAAAAAAAAAAAAAAAAAAAAAAAAAAAATTAATAAATAAAATAAAAAACTCCTAAAACCATTTACGTACCCCATTCTGATTCATGCATGTCCCCCCCCCATAAAAAAACAACCTGCCAAATTCTGCAGGGTTTTTTCCACCAAGGGCGAATCCTTTAAGCCCAAGGAAATCTCAATTTTTCTCAGTATATGTATATACTAATGTCCAAATACTAGAGTAGAAAAATTCGCTGCTAATACTCCGTCCACAATCAGGAAATAATAATAATAATAATAATAATAATAATAATAATAATAATTAAAAACAAAATTTCTGACGAATTTGATCCCTTATGGCAAACCTTCTGAAGAAATTTTCAAATTTCCTGAAATCTGCAAAACAGGGCTGCATCACTAAATATAGTATTTTCAATATCGTATTGACATTGATTTATAAATTAATTTTTTTATAATATTAAGTATTTCTAAATGAAGCAAAAAAGCATTCTTTTTTTTGGGGGGGGGTTGTGTGCGTGTGTGTGGTGTGTGTGTGTGTGTGTGCATTGCTGCTTTCCAATATTTTCAATGTTTTATCTAACACAATCAGTTTTCTAATATAATTTCAGTCTGCACTTGAATTTTAACTGCCTTTTGGGGGGGGGGGAACACATTCCGCGCCCTCAAAAAGAAAGCTACAAAACTAACTGCTAAATTTCTATAGATGTAACAAAAATAAGATAGAAACGATGGTTTTAGTCACCAGAGGCAACTTTTTCTCGCGATTCGCTGCGAAAAATGTGAAAAAAAACAGAAAAAATATGTTTTCTATATTTTTCAAAGAATTTTTTTTTCTACCTTTGCAGAAATTCTAGAAATCAGCATCATTTTATTACTGAAGGTAATATTATTAGGCATATTATTATTAGTTATATTATTTTACATTTAATTTGACGACTTTTATTAATTTCTATATCGTATTGCAAGTAATATTTCATTCTAAATAAATAAAATGCATGCGTACAGGCGTAACACAGATCTTCTAGATGCCAGCCAGACGTGCAACGAGTTACACCACGAGAGCACGCATTGGGGAAAGCGATACTTTTTCATATCCTCTGTCCAATTAAAAGGTGACTGGAAAGAAACGGATGACACCAGTCAACCAAATCTAGCTGGTGACGAATAATCGTCTACTACATCGATTGGTTGGGCGTTAGAGCAGGGTTATTAGGTGTTTCGAAATAACAAATACAAAAAATGCGATACATCCTCGTAGAATTCGAGCCTCGTGGATCTTCCGCTTAACAGCTGCACATGCTACCAGTTACTATACCGAAGTACACGCGGAGAAGACGCAATTCCTTAGAACAGGAACGGATGGAAGAATCGCTAGGCCATTTCACATACGATGACAAAACCTTTTTTTCTTCACCAATTTAATTCCATATTCTTCACAGTTTAACTAAAAAATAGCCCTTATATATAACCCTAGAGATACTATTAATATGACATTGTCAATGCTATCAGTAATCCCAAAATTGACTTTTTTTTTTTTAATTTAAAAAATTTAAAGTGTCCATCAGATCTATTATTTGCCCATCAGGATCCATTTTTAGAAATGCATCGCCGTCTCTGTAAAATTCTGTTTGTCCAATCTTCGACATCCACGAGGAAAAAATCAATCTCTGAAGCAAATTGAATTAAGTTTGTTTTACTAATGAAGCCCCCCTAAACTTGGCGGGTTTATCAACGTATTTTTTTTTTTAAATTAGTAATGTGTAAATGAATGTAAAATTAATTTTAAAACGATCCAAGTGGCTTTCCATTTTCGTAAAAACCATTGTTTCAAAAATCTTTCTGAAAATGCATACCTGTTTCAATGTTTTATGAAAATGAGTCTTCCTTGAAAATGTATACCTTCGTATTGGCATCGGATTTCATGCACTCAACGGTTTCTGCATCACGCAAAACGGGCAGCACTTCACAAAGCCGCCGACGTGTTTTCCAGGTTTTAAATTATTGGAAGTCGATTGGCTAAAATATTTTCCATAAAAGACGCGACAGCTAGGACAGGTGCCTTCACGAAGTGCTTTATAGGAAACTAGATCGTATCACGAAAACTCAATATACTCGTACTATTCGTCGGGAACAGAAACCAGAGCGACCTAGTGGTTTTAACTCCTCGGCACTTGGTGGCTCGTTGGAGGACAAACCAGCAGTTGTTAAATTTCCTCAACTCGGGTTTTGTGATTTCTTTTTGAGAAAATAGCCAAGTCAAGTTTACCGTAATGTAAAAATTCTGTAGAAACACAAATGAAATAAAGTTATTTGGTAATACCCTCTATCAAGTAGGCGAAAATGTCTTCGGCAAATGGCCAAACTAAACATATCCTTTTATAAAACTTCCATGTATTATTTCAAATACTTGGATTTTGTATCCATACCTTGTTTCACAAACGATATTTATTTACGCATTAGCATTTGCGATAATTAAATCTGAAATCAAGCCAATAAACACTTTGTATGCAATGAAATACTAACATCAAACACAAAGAACACAAATGAAATGAGAATCTTAAGCTTTATTATTTGAGAGTAATTTTCTAACAGACCCGTAATGAAATATAATCAGTCTAACAAGTTAATAATTCCATACATCCGCGTTTCTCAGTCTGTGGTCCACACCAGCGTTTCTCAATTTGCGGACCATAATTTGTCATCGATGCCTACCTTTGTGTCCTAGATTTCCAAAAATGACAAAAAGTAAAATTCAAATTAACTGCGTATATATCACACTATAGCCGAAAATCTTAGAATGCAGAAAATACACATGGCAATCGTCTATCCTAAGACTAAAGTTTTATGAAATTAATAATTACAAATACAAAAAGGTGTAAATTTTATGTCCCCTAATACTGACATTTTATGAAATTCTATTATCGGTTACCCTACTTACGGGCTTCGAAATCTACTCTTAGCAACGAAAGAGGAATTTAAAGTACTGTAATTGTGGTGCTTGTCACCATCGTTTCGCTGCACATTTGGCGTCACTGAACTCATAACCAGTGAAAAGGGAATATAGTGAACCGTACAACTGTGCTTAAAAGATTATAATTCAATTTGCTTCTATATAACCTGAGTGCGAAAGAGTTTTCATCACCAATTCAAATAAAAGCAAAGCACTGAAATCGATTTTATGTGTCGATTTCAGACTTAAACTTACCAGCATACATCCAAATAGCTGTCCAAGAATCAGTATGTTCACCTATCTCACTAATGTGAGTAGCAGCATTTATTCAATTTTTAGCAATCAGATGAAATTATAAGTACTTCGCATTATTAAAAACGAATACGAATTGTTAGTTATTTTATAGCGATGTAAAGTTAAATGAATTTTAATTAGATATGTGTGTTAAGTATACTGGTAGTACTATATGCTAAGAAAGATTACTTTCGAAGAGGCAAAAATAAAGTAGTCCTCAGCACATTCTTTTCTTATAAAAGTGGTCCGCACTTGAGAAAAAACTTTGAGAAACGCAGCTGTGTAGTTGTTCGATGTATTAACGAGAAAAAAGCTCTTTCTCAGCCAACTAGAAAACACTACAAATAGATGCACATAATAAAGATATAAAACATACTTACCAATTTCCAATTTTTTTAGATAAAGAAGAAAATATTTACTTTGACATAAAATACATGAAAACTAAGAGGAAAGTAATATGAAACACTTTTTTTTTTTAAGACGCGCACTTGCTTTCTAGCACTGGCCACTCCTAAGGCTGGAAGTTGAGGCCATTTTATTCTGGAGGCACCTAATAGTCAGCTACCGTTACCTCCTATGAGGGAACAGACAATTTACATCCATGCCTTCTCCGGGTTTTGAACCCGGACCCTTCGGTAACGCAGTCGGCTCTCCTAACCACTACACCGTCTGGCCCTCATGAACTAGTTTTACTGTTTATCTAATTCCTATTTGTACAAACATGGGCGAATCGTATAATTCATTTAGAACAATTAGCATTAAGTTCGCTGGAATAATCGGTCTAAGCTAATAATTTTGATTTGTTTGCAGTTAAACATCCCCACTATGATAAATTCCGGCCCTTAATATGAAATTTAGAAAAACTGGAGTTAATCCCAGATAAATGCTGGGCTTAACACATTGAACTGCAATATTAGACTCAGAATGAATTTCTGTGTCTAATAGTTTTTTAATTTGGCTTTTATACATATAGACCATAAATTACGACAAGTGCAACTCCAGTGGTCCCGTCGTAAGTCGATTCTGATCTGCGAAGGAGAATTATTTTATTCTGGATATCTTGGATAATATACACTTTTATCAAATATAAAATAGACTTAATAATGTTATAAGATATTTCTCCCGCTTTCCTAGCGTGCCTTCGCGGTGTAGTGGTTCTACATGCTGGGCCCGATATTCCAGAGGTCCGTGGTTCGATTCCCGGCTAAGGCGTTTGATAATTTTTTAATCTTTCTTGCTTTCCCAAAAAATCCTAATGTCTCTACAGTGGCGCCCGAAATAAACAGGTGTTGGATGATGATTCTCCACACCCAGGATTTGGGGATTGGGTCACCTATAAACACCAGTCGCCCTTTAAAAACGGGAGTATATAAGGTATTCCTCCCGCTTTCCTAGCGTGCCTTTGTGGTGTAGTGGTTCTGTACGCTGGGCCGTTATTCCAGAAGTCCGTGGTTCGATTCCCGGCGAAGGCGTTTGATAATTTTTCAATGTCTCTTGCTTTCAAAAAAAATCCTAATGTCTCTACAATGTAACAAGCTTTCGTAGCACTTACACGTAATTTATTTGTATACATATGCATTGTATGCATACATATTTTTATAAAATTTAACACATATCCTTCCTTTAAATTAGTTAACATGAGCAAATATGTGTAAATGTCTTTAATTAAGCATTATAGGTGAGCAATTTTTACTCATTTGGATGATTGATTAAAACCGGATTAAAAATTAGATTACATTTCTAATTAGAAAATTCATAAATGTTCCCCCCCCCTACATTTTTTTTCTTAATATAGTTTGTAACAATTTTAGGCTGCTACTTGATTTTTTAACTTTAGTGAAACGATTAATGTTTCGGTCCATATTTTCTAGTTATGACTTTATTTCATTTTACTTAGTGACCCTCATGATGGCAGACCGTCGTAAGTCCAGGATTACCTGTAGTTTCCATTTACTACCTTCAATGGAAAATAATGCTTTTACTATAAAAAAATAGTTCCAAAAACAAAAATTCATTTATATTAACGTTAAAAAATGGCATCTTTTGGTGAGATTGCTCCATTTTCCAGAAAATTTGCTGAAAACTATTTTCTAACGATATACAAATTTGGCTAAAAATGTATTTGACAACGTAATTTGTTACTAAGCACACGTCTGCAATATGATTCTAATAGTGTGCTCAGTGTATACACCAAATAAACTTCATATTCACTTTGAAAGTTAAAACTTCTGACATACATTAATTTCTTAAGTGTACCAACTCACCACAGCAGATGCAAGACTAGCAAATTTCTTTGAAGTGTCCCAGACACGAATTTCTCCTTCTTGGTCATTAGCACTGCCTCCGGAAACTAGAACACCTTCAGGCAACGATAGCAGTGCTGTAACTTCTCCCTAAATGTAACCAGTACGTAATCTAAGTGATTAATGTTCCTTTTAAGAAAAATTCTCACGTCAAAAAACAGCATTTAATAAAAAATCTCACTTGAAATAAAATAAGAATGATTAATACAGAGTTTCTAAATGCAATGTGAGGCGATGCCGAAGAATATTAAAATGGGTCAAAAATCGGTTACTTTTACATTTAATGAAAACGCATGTGTTCCTAACTTATATTTCTACAGCTTTTATGTGAATATTTTAAATCACTTAAACCTCCGAAGAACTAAAAACAGCATAATTATTTATGTCATTCTAATTACTAAATAAATATTATTTCTTACAATAAAACTGAAATTTAGGCTAGTATTTCTTCAGTAAATTTATAACAAACTGGTTTCTACACTCTTTTTTTGTCTTAATGAAAGCTTAAAAAATATATTTTCTTTCTTTTCGTTACGAAAATACTGCAGGTTGTGCAATTTTTTTATTACTATTTTTTATTTTTCATATTTTGAGCCTTATCATTATGCAAAATATGGTAAACTAGTAGCTAATACCAGCTTTTCTGTATAACAGAGTATTTTAGCAGTCTTTAATGGTTTTATATTTTGCATTGATTTTTGATTTATGGCTGCATTTTCTCAATCAGGTATGGTATATGTATATTTGATGCATCTCAAAAATTTCATATTAGTTAATTAGCAAAATATCAATTATATTCGCCTTCATCATTATAAAATATTACATATAACATTAGAAATTAAGTAGACAACAAAATGTTCCTGCTGTGCAAAAGTTACTAATCCTCCTTTCATCTACATCAAGAAAACGATGCGAAACCAGCAATTTATCAATGATGTGTGAATGGATTCATCAGCGGTGAAAGACAGCAATAGAGAAGTAAAAATGGCAACGACTTTAACGATGTTTAGGGGCGGAATCAAAGACCTAATCGTAGCGCAAAGGTGAGAAAATAATTGGTTTCGAAGATTGACGCCAGAGGCTAAATTCCAGGTAAAGTTCTCTGTGGGCGGAAAATGTCAAGATGGCAAAGTTTAAGCTATGACAGTCATTGGCTTGTTTGGAACAAAAGTATCATATCTGAAGGTTGCAGTGAAGCTCAGTTTGTCTATAATGGTGATAGACAGACTTAGATAACAGTTCTAAAGTAGGAAAAATCTTAATAGACATAGAATTTAATAAACATAGAATATCTCATTGCCTAGTAATAATGACTCCTAAATTGTAATTTTCTTGTCATAATTGTATGATGCAATTAAAGCATGAAATCTGGCCTATTCGTTTTTTTAGCTTATAAAAGCTAAAAATACCCAATATATTACTAAGCAGCGTTGAGAGGCTTTACAACAACGGGTTCTGAGAAAGATGACACTTTTTAATATAGGAACAACGGGCAATCGATTAGTTTATTAATGAATCGCCCTTCATGTTACAAAGCAACTATCCAGTGCACACACATATGGCAAGAAGCTGGAGTCTGTTTTTTTACCCATCATTTATATTAGACAGAACTGTAAACATGAAAGACATAATTGCATGATCTAGACTGAATGCATGAGCCGAGATTCATACATTTTCTAGAGATTTTGTCGCAGTTGTAAACTAAATAACCAAGCTATTGAATCTTAACTTCCTTAGGCGCAGACGGAACTTCTGTACATTTCTTTTAACGCAGGGCGACGCTTGGATGAAAGCAGTTACGCTAGTCATCAGAATACTCGAAAAGCGAAGATTATTGTAACCACGGAATGACCGGACTACACATTCAGTAGCACTAAATGTCACAGAGTAGCCAGTTAAATCTCCGATTAGACAAAATGCTGAGGAGATTTGACGGTTGTGATACCACACGGGTAATCACATATCCTACTAAGACCATTCGTGAAACTTTTAGCCTTTCGTTCTTACGTTTTTATTACTATGGTTTCCATCTTCTGTCAGTTTTCAAGACTACATACGATGGATTCGCTTAATTTTGTGCTGTATTAAGTGTTACTCGTTACATTGCCTTTTACTTTTGGTATGTAATCTAACACTTGCAACAGAGTACAGAAAAACATACTAATTTCTATAATACCTAATTTCTTTAAGGCTTCTCTGATTGCAACAACAAATGATAATTGATTATTTATGATTGCGAGTGCAATAATTTAAACAGAACAAATCACTGAAACAGTCTGACGAAAATGTTCAATGTTATATAATATTATAAATAATAAAGTCTAAAAGCAGTTAATTACTTCAAAAGATTCCTAAAAACATATTCTATTAACAAAACACTCAGTTGCATTGTATATATAAAAATTAATTAACCTGAAAATGTTAAAAAGAAAGCACAATATCTATAAATTAAAAGTATACAGTCACAGGCAGCAAATTTTATTGCTGCACACTTATTACTCACATCATGAGCTTTGAATTCCTTCTGTATAAAGAAAATTTTCCCCGAGTCTTCACTTGGTGCCCACACAGTTAGGAAGCCTCTGGAATTTCCGGTAACAAGTCTGCCGTCTGGAAGAAACTCCATGGACAGAAAACTAGTACCTGAACGACCCTATCAAGCGCAAAAAGATATGTTCATTAGAAAAATGACAATACTTGGGGCCCACGAATATCATTTGTGAGTTATTTAACAATACGCTTGTAAGAATAGAATTACATTGCACATTTTACTTCTTAAACTTTTGCATGATATTTTAAGGATCTCAAATGAAGATTATTACAAGGCAAATAATTTTGAGCTATATTAATAGTAAATAAGTGAAGGTGTCCAGTGAAAATATAGCACAGATAAACATGAAATTTATTGTTGATTGTAGTTTCATTGTAACTCAATGAAAATTTAACAAACGTTATTATTTCTCTTAGCATGTGTAGCAGAAGCTGGAGTGTGTGATTAAAAGAAAAGAGCTGGAGCTCGTAATAGGTTTTCCACGACTAACTAAATATTGAAAATAATAATAGTTACGATTCTTGAAATTCACCAATGAGTATCATCATATGTTTTAAGTGAGACAGCTGACATACGATGCCCGAAGAAGCGTAATAAATTTATTCATTCCATGTTTCCGTTCCATGTTTGTTTCCTGTTGGAGGTGTGGTAAAATCTGTCGGAAGTTTCAGCTCTATTCTTTAGACCAGTGCTTAATTTCTAAAATTAGAAGTGCCAGAGCCCTACGGAGAGCTGTGCTGTCAGAAAAGGCAAACAAAAATAAGTAAATAAAGTATATAATAAAAAAATAAACAAATGTTATATAAATTCAATAAAATGTCAAGAGATTAATAAAAACTTAATAAAGTATCTCAATTTCAAGAAAAATAGTTAAATAATAAAATAAAAAACTGGAATTTTTTTTTAGGACTCTGGCGGGAATTGCAGTTTCAATTCGAAAACTAACTAAGAATTAGCGGAGCTAGGCTCCGGCTGAATATAAAGTGTAATGTACTCAAGAGATGTCAGAAACAGAGATCAATCTTTTCCCAGCCTAGCAATGAAAAAGGTAAAATGGTTAAAGCGTCACTTAGATTAGAGAGAAAGCGAGAAATAGTTTGAGAGTGTGGAAGGAATTTTAACCGAAAACTGTATGTTGGTGGGGGGGGGAGAGAGAGGGAAGATTCAAAAGGAAAACAAAAACAGACATGAATTCAGAAAATAGAATCAATTTTTAGAGTTTATTTATTAGTAAAATAAAATTTTTATGGGATCAAAAGAGTTTTCTGTTGAAATGGTGGTCCTATTTTATAAAAGACGTGCCAGAGCTTCTCTTACTTAAGGCCCGGTAGGCTCTGCTTTCGACTAAGAATTCCAGCTCATTCATTCTGCATGTAGCACTACAACTTCATGTGCTAGCAGTAATAACAATGTTTTGACAAAGTTCAAAACAGCTCAGTCGAAACTGCAGTCAGCAATAAATTTTCTGACTTTGCGCTAACTTGACAGCATTACATTCATTCCCTTTAATTAATCTAAAAGACGGGATGGGATGAGATTGTGGCGGTCGCAGGCGATAACTCATGCGTGCTCCTTGGTGTTTTGTTGTTTGCTTGTGTCCTTACTTATACGCAAAAATGAAAAGTGCAGCCTACGAAGTTTTCGTGTGCTTGCGGATAGTAAATAACCTTAGGGTTCGATCACAGGTCTGTTTAGCGGCAGTTAAATATCTTACCGATATCGCAAATGTGCATTTACGCGATAAATCCGGATATTTTAACTGTTTCATACTGCAAGCGTCTGATTAGCAATCGAAATCGCTACGCACTGCACCAAGCATTTTTAATGCGCCATGACGTTTAACTTCCTTCAGTAACTAATGTCGACTACATAGAGTCTTGCTTAGTAAATCAGACTGGTGCCAATGGCCTATCGCGGTAGTGTAGAAGAAATGATACCCCTTGGTATCAACACCCTCAGACGGTACTATAGGTTAAGCATGAATTTAGACTAATGGCATAAGTAGCGCAATCATAAATTCTCAACATAAGCAGGCATTCTAACTAGTAGCAATAAAAAGGCATAATAAGAAATTATTCGTGAAGCAATTACGAGCAATCAGTAGCATTAGGTATATCTTCTAGCGCAATCTTAACTTAGCATGAACATGCAATCAGCATATTTTAGAGCAATATAGGTATATTTTCGTAAAGTTCGATAAGCAATCAAAAAGACGAGTCGAAGGTAAGCAAATAGTTCCGGGAGATGTGCATTCTTGAATAAATAATGAAGAACATGCGGCGTAAGAGGTCGTTGCGGTTCTTATCCGCTAATGTGAGTGATCTTTGCGTTGGTTGGCTCGTGTCGCCATCTATTGGCACAGATGGAACGTGCGGCACTACACAGCTCCCATGTACTTGAGGACCTTAAACGACCTTAGGATTCGATCGTGCGTCTCTTTCGTGGTAATTAAGCACCTTAACCTCTATCGCAAAAGTACACCTATACAACAGTTTCGAATGTTTGTGCTATTTTGTGATGCAAGCGTCTGTATGGCCCTCGGAGATTACTAGAGGATGGAGAAACTGTCAGTTTAATAACAATTGTTGTATATAGACTTAAAACAATGACATCAGTACACCGATAAATAGAATAATCCAATATTATTTTAATATTAAATTGGACCTGTAAATAAACAGCTAGATACATTTCGTTGCACATTGTTGCTGGTCAAAATTTTAATTGGCTTGCATATGTTGGGTATATTGTGAACATATTTTTCTTCACTGAATACTCAGGATTTCAAGCTAAGATTTTCAAAAAATCTTGAATTTTAAGATAAAAGTAGTAACATTATGATCCTCACATGTACATAAATAATTACTATTAAACATTATAATTTTAAAAATTTTATTCTCACTTTTTTCTGATTAATTCAGTATAAAGACAAAAATTAATCGTCCTCAAATATTAAACTCAATTTATATTAAACTAAAATTATTACTTAAATATAAAAAAATTACGATTGTTAAACGTTGATTTATAAAGTTGAAGAATTAATATTTTATCTTCCACCATTTTATTTAAGTAAAAATGCTACAACAAAGAATTTCCGCTCTAGCACATTATAAACTATCAACAAAGCTTGCGAATCAACTCATCATAAAAAAATGAAATCATGAAATTTCGCATAAGAAAACTAGCTAAATCTTATCTGTATAAAAAAAAAAATTCTCTGCTTGCTTTTGCGCGCTCTATTTTTGACTAAACCTTTAAAAGAGAAAACAAGTTCTTTAAAGTTGTAACTCTTATTAAGCATGCTAAAATACTAATTATACATAATACGAGTATGACGTCGCACATTCTAAAACTACGGATAAATAACTCGGTATAAAATAGGGAATTTTTTTAAAATTGGAAATAATTAAAGAACAGCAAATAAATATCGCTCATTTGTTAGAAATGTTTACCTGCTTACTTATTTGACTGATTATGGCAAAGCACGTGACGGCAACTTTAGGAGAGATGCCTTCGTGAAAGACCCCCTAAGGATAACTGGTTTGTATTTACGTTACTCAATGGAAAACTGGTTTGTATTTAAGTTAATGGGAAAACCACGAAAACTTCAGACAGCCAGTCCGTTACCCGGCAGCTGAACCCAAAATCAACTGTAAGTGTAACATTAGAAATGGAAGGGGATTATTCTATAACGAATGGCAAAATTCAAGCCTTTTTTCGGGGGGGACTGTTAGATTCAATATATTTACTACGGCAAAATATTTAAGGCTACCTGCCTCATTTAATATTCTGAGGCTACCTGCCTCAGCAGAAAAGACATTGTTAAGGAATTTATAAAACACTGCCTTATTTAATAGACCTTATTAATACATACCGAAAACTTTACATAACCAGCCGGTTCTTCCAACAGGCAACGCAACTCAAGATAAATTAAGATAAATTACGTACGTCTTATATTCTCGGCCATTGTCAAATAAAATTTGCTCGTTAACCAACACATTTTATTTAACATTAATTTTAACAAAGTAAAATTTCAATGCATGTCAAAGAAGAACGGTGAGCTTTTTCCTTCGTCCACAGTAAAATGTCTTCTGCTAATAATACTTCAAATACAGGGGTTCTTAACCAGGGTGCGAATTTCAGAGTTTCAAGAAAGGCGCACGGTCAGGCTTTTATTTAGCTGTTAAGTATTTAGTTTTAGTTTATGAATATAAAATCTACTTTTATTCAAGTTTTTAGTATTTATCAACATTTTCTATACATTTTGTTATTTCGTTTATAAAACGCATTAAAAAATATTCAAAATCTATGTAAATGTATATGTGCATTTTTCAAGTTTTGGAAAGGAAGGAGGGAATGATCTAACAATGGCGAAAGGGTAGCATAGGACAAAACAGATGGACAGAGAACCACTGCTCTATTATTTCTTTTGATGAAAGGGAATCTAATGTCTTTTGAAATGCACTGCCATTTACCAAAGTTACGTTACTCCTTTTCCATTCAGTTTGCTCGCGCAATATCACTCAAAAATAAGTATTGCTATTAATTATGTGAACATTAGAATTTGTAATGGTTTTATTATATGGGTAAAAAAATTTAAATTAATCAAAATTGATGTTTTTTTTACGAATTTAATTACTGTTTTTTATGAATTCAGCAAAAAAAGCCCCCCCCAAAAAAAAACATAAATTGGACTTTCTAAAAATAAAAAATATTTTCATTAGAAAAAATTAAACATTCTAATAAAACTATTCTTTATGAAAGTGTACTAAAAAATATTCTCATTAGAACTAACTCCCGGAAAAATATCTACAAATGTAAATAAGATAAAAGGAGCACGCGGAATAAATAAATAAATAAGTGCTTGCACTGTTTCAGCTTAGTTTAAAGACATTTTCCTCTTCGTTTTATTTTCTTTTTCTTTCGGAGGAGGGCACTTCGGAAACAAAATCAACCAAACACGTACAAAATAACACAGACGGATAACAAGATTGTATGACTAAATATTTCTTGAGTAGTTGGTAATTGCCATATTTAAGAAGCCTGTCAAATAAGGAAGACTTTCAGACTGACTACGGCAGATTTAACTACATTCTGAAATTATAAGAATTACATTTTTAATTAAAAAGGTATAAGAAACTTAAATTACTTACAGATTGCATAGTAGATCTGTCGACGCAAAAAGACGAGAACTGAATTATTTAAGTAACTTAACTAATTCAGCAATTTCATAGCAGCAGTAAAACCAAAATTCATAATTATAGTATCAAAATTACCCAACATACAATGAAGCAAATTTTTCAGAACCCTTTACAAATATTGCTAAAGGTAGCTAAGGAAGTTGAATTTTGAATGCAAATTCGTAAATGATACCATTCTTGTTGGAAAAAATAAGACTGTTTGCTGCGGAATTCTGAATTGATAAAATTCATTTTTATCAAATCGATGTTTGCTTCTACGGCTGAAAACAGTTTAAACTGTATAATTTTAAAAATTTTTTCGGTGCTAATTCTGCGTAGTACAAACAGGTTCTTTCCCTACCATGTCCTAAAAACATCGCTAGTAAGAAAGTAACAGAGTAACAAATATAACTATCTTCTTTCATAATGGTTGCACAAAGATTTAAATTGCGCACGCTTTACGACGTATTACATAATCCATCCTCTGAAAGTATTTCGAAACATTGGTCTAGCAAAAGCATTTGAAACGGAAAATGATAAAAATGAGAATTTATCTATCACAAAGGCCGAGAGAGGCGGGAGGGAATATGTCAACCTTTCCAGAATGTTATATGAAATTTTTCCTAACATGTGACGAAGATATTCTTGCACGTGAAGAAAGAACCAAGTGGCGGAGGTGTTGCGTGACGAAATTAAATTTTAAAATGCGAATGTCGATGACTCTTTATTCGGTATTGATGGAAAAGCTTAAGATACGCAACATTTCGGAAACGAACTAACACACCACCATTGGCGGATAACAAATTAGATGCATGTGTTTGTCCGTATGAACTGCAGAACACATAGTAATGAAGTCACTTCAGTTTTCGGTCAACATGAATAACATTTTACTGCAATCACGCTAGCAGACGACTACATATTATTTTTGCACTCAGTTGTTAAATAAAAACTAAAAGTACATTCGTCGATAATTTTTGCAAATAATTTTTATTCAATTTATGTTTTTTCCTTCCTCTGCTTCAAACGATCATTGTATAAGTGATTGAGGGATACGCGTTTCGAAGGTAGGATCTGGATAATGATTTTTCTGCTACGCAATTTTGGGGTATAATTGTAATCGTAAGATGAGACTGATTGGTCTATTTAGTTATGGCAAAGCATTCGAGGGATATCTGCCTAAGAGGAGGGATGCTTTCCACTGAGAACTTTTTAACGGAAGCTAACTCGTATACACGTTACACGTGGGGAAAACCACAAAAACGCCCAAGCAGCCAGCCGGTTCATCAGAATTCGAACTCAACACCGAAATACCAATATTCAGCGATATTACAGCTCGGCCGCTGGTGGGCCTATGATGAAACTGAAAAAGAATGAAAGCGCATTTAGTATCTGTTGATAATAATAATTTTAAGTAATTCCTAATATTAAAACGTTTTCAAATAAAATTATTATTTCCATCCGCAGGTAAGTGTGCCAGTGCTAGTCAGTTTTTACAGCTCTTCAGTCTACTTTTATGATTTTATGCGAGATTATCCGTATTAATTTTATGATATCGGACATAGCGAACCGAAAATTCATTTCATTGAAGGTTCCTTACAGAGGAGCTTGATTTAGTTTCAAATCACTGTGAAGGAAATATAGTTAACATGAAAAGCATATATATACTATAATAGCATATATATTATAGCATATGTATACTATAATAAAAAAGTTACATGTTATACTGTATTTTACAACAAAATTTAAACAGACCAATAGAAATCTCATTACAAGCTGGAAGACTTTAATGACACTTTAAATGGAAAACATTTTCAATTACATGGACGGCAAAAAAGACAAGAAATCTGAAGAATACAAACAGCAGTTAATAACGAAAATTTTTCTGAATCTTCTTAAGAATGATCGATACGACGAATTAGTTTTTGATGATAATATGATAGAATTTAATATAAAAGTTATAAATGGCTGAGTCGAAAATCTGAATTTATTACAGATATAAATTCAAATAACTTATACTAATAGAGCTTATGATAATAAAACGTTAACAAGATTAAAGGAAATTTTCTGATTAATTGATAATATACGCATTATAAATCGATAAAAGATGGAATGTTTAAAACAGATCATAAAATGATATGAAACTTTATTAACTGGCGAATTTCGGATCTGTAACCCCATTGTGCAAATGCAAAAATTGAGAGATTTCTCTATCACAAATTACGTAGACTCTTTATTTTTTTTAATTTCTTTTAACCAGAAAAGGAAGCCTTGATCCATCATTATGTCTTTTTGCAGTTAAGTAAATGCTAAAGTATTAATTAAAAAATTTCAGCGGTTAAAGTCTAATATTTTTCATTTCGTTAAAAATAATGATTACTTCCACGAAATAAAATGTAGTACTAAAATGTCCCTAACCCCTAAAACGTTTCCTCATGACATTAGAGCACCATATCCCAAACTTCGTGATTCTGTTTTAGTTTATTAAGTCTCACATGGTAAATAGCCAAATTTCAAGCAAGCACTGGTACTTACCGCTGATAATGGATCTTTTCTATTCAGCTCGCCATTACTGTCTTTCAGCCAAAATGCTAAATGCTGTCTCCCATATGTTACAATGACATCATCTTCTAGAGGATGAAAAGCTCCGCCAAGTAAAGACTGCCCTGTCTGAAAACAAAAGAATTTTTCAATATATAAAACAAATAAAGGAGACTGTTTTGAAAAATAAGGAATTATAATATTAAAATGTAGTAAAAATAATGTGATCTTAATGTACTGTGATTAACTACTTCTCAATACAACTGTCGGCAGCTTAAATACAAGTTGCAGTGACATTATTGAGTAAATAGTATGCAGGGAACAAAAGCAGGAAGCTAAGCTTTCAAGCATCTGGAAGATATAAGAATATCATTAAAATAGAGAGTGAGGTTAAAAATTTCGCTTTCATAATCACAGTGTGTTGATGAAATACAGGGGCGTAGCTAGAGGTGGGGGCATCTGTCCCCGGGCGCAGAATCCAAGGGGCGCCAAACTGATGTTACGACATTTTAGAATTTAATGTTTTCCATCCTTGGCAAGCAGTAGGGGGCGCGAAATCTTCAGTTGTCCCTGGGCGCTGAAAACCCTAGCTATGACTCCGATGAAATAATCCAAAAACAATTGCTAAACTATTCGTACTTTAAAGGATTTTGAAGAAATCAATAATTTATATCAATAATAAAAGAACAGTAGTTATGTAATTTAATAATTAGCTCAATTTAAATTGATCGAACTGAAGTTTACATGGCATTCAGAAATAGACTGATCTGGTTCTAATTTGCATTATTCCACACAAAGATAGATGCCAGCTGTTTATTTTCAAGGACAAATGTATGAAGATATGAAATTTAAAACTATAAAACAAATAAAAACTATTGCTTAAAAGCATGAAACGCTAAATGCTCTACTTGTGAACCACACATCATAAAATGCACATAGTCATGTAGCAAACGTTAAACATTTAATACGAAAAAAAAGTTCAAGTTAGCGAAAGATCTATTTATGATAATAAAAATGGCTAAGTATAACGTATTTCAGCTACAGTTATGTGAAAATTACTTTGTTTTTTAATACATACTATTGGGCTATGGAACGATTGTTCATAAATAATTAGCGTACATCTATTAGCAGTAAATTTAAACGGCACAAAATGAATAAAATGAATTGCATATAGATAGGTAAGCGCAGGAAGACAAAAAAAGAAGAGCTTACATACACTAATTCTGTAACAGAACCAAACCAATTGATTTCCAAACCTATCGCCGAACTTTTTCCATAGATATACAGGGTGTTTCTAAATGAATATCAGGGTTTTAACGCTTTGTAGTATTTATTAAGTAAAACTTAAAATTATAATTACCGTATATACCCGCGTATAAGTCGACCCCCCCACTTCGACATAAAAAATTCGTAGAAAATAAGAAACCAGCGTATAAGTCGACCCCCCACTTCCGAAATCGATCGAGAAACTTCGAAAAAGTTTTTTTAAGTACTACATTTATTCAGAATCATCTGAGAAAGAAAAGTAAATATACAATAAAAAATACCTTGGTAAATAAACAAAATCAAAATCCTTCAACGTCCGACTCATTGTCAGATTAACTAAACATTTCATAGAACTCTTCTGTCGTCATTGGCTCGTCATCATACATATTTTCAGTCTCGAACTCTGTATTGTTACAATCACTACTAGAGCCTTCGTCGTCATTTTCACTTTCAAAAACAGTATCATCTTCCGTGCCGTCTAGTTCGTTGCTAATACAACATTTTTTAAATGATTTTATAATCATTTCAGAGAGTATTTCATTCCAAGCATCTTTAACCCACTGAGCAATTAATGTAATATCGGGCTTTTTAATGTTGCCTTCTAGAATTTGAAGTTGATCGTATATAGTAACCTTCTAGAATTTGTTCCGGAAAAGATTCGCGTACGTAAAATCTATCTGCATTTTCCCTTTTTAAAAGTTAAAAAAAATTATTTTATTAAAAAAATTAATTTTATTGCTCGATATTGATCGGTTGTTCGGGGGCCGAAAATTCTTTGGTTTAATCGAAACTTAAAGTATGAAACTCTGTGATTAGTTCGTCACATAATTTAAGTCATGAAATCACTTCAAGTAAGTGACTTATTTGATAAATCGTCCAATTTGAGTGAAGAAAACAACTGCATTATATAAAGAAATTTTTGAACTTCCGATTCTTTTAATTTTTTATGGCCCCGCGTATAAGTCGACCCCCCCCACTTTGAAGTCTTTTTTTTGTCCAAAATATCTCGACTTATACGCGGGTATATACGGTAATACATGAAATGAAAGAGCAACTCTTATACAAGCTTAAAAGCGTTCAATGTGAGCACCTTTCGCCACACGGCACACTTCAAATCGAAAACCTTGGTCAACTAACTCTTGGTCGTCCCGTACCAACACCTTCTTAAACAGGTGGGAGAGAGGAGAGAGTGTTGCCCGTACTCTTCCCTTCGCAAAGGCAGTCGGTATTTTCAAACTGATGATACCATCTACGGATGTTTTATTATCACTTGGGGAAACACATCTGAACTTAATCCGGAACGCACGTTGCACAGCAACTACAGATTTTTAGTCTTCGGAAACTGCAGAACACAAAAAGCTTTCTGTTCACCAGTGGCTATTTTTGCTACTAGCATTTTCTGACGCATGCGCGTACCAACAAACAGAACTGTTTGCGTTGCTCTTTCATTTCATGCATTAATTATGATTTTTTAAGTTTTACGTTACACAAATAACACAAAGCGTTAAAACCCCGATATTCATTTAGAAACACCCTGTATAATAGGATAAAAGCACCATGGCTATAATGTGCCATAATAATCTACAGCAAGCTCAGAAATTCCTTTGCACATGCACAGCACGAGAACAACTCTAACATCTCAACAAAACAATTTGCCTATGGTCAATTCCTAGTAAAGCCAGACAAAACATACGTTATCCTTCAATGAGCAAGCGAATCGTTTTGGAAGAAAGCATCAATGACCACATTGAACATAATTTCCCTTAATTTGGCAGCTCAACATGATTACTCAAAATATGTTTCTTTCATGTATTCGTGAAGTCGCCCAGACGGTATAGTGGTTAGGGGAACCTATTACAGTACCGAAGCGCACGGGTTCGAATCTCTGAGAAAACATGGATGTTTGTAAATGTATAGTGTCGGTGCAGCATGGCGGTACTCTAAATATGCGGCGAGCCGAAAGTCCTCTCGTGTGGACTGGTAGAAGGGGAATGGAGTGGGAGGCCCAGACCCCTGCCGGGGTGCTCTCCCTCAAAATTCGAGTGGAAAACAGAAGTGCAACTTCTCTTTGAAGTAGGCTCTGGCAACCATTGTTCCATGTAATATGGACAAGACAACAACAATATATTCGTGAATCACACCCAAAGACTGAATACAGTATGCTTCACTGAAGCTGAATGGAATCGGGCTAAACGCTGTCCGGTGTTGCATTAGAAATGACACCGATATTTCAAGAATAATACGCCTATAAACAATAGAAACACGTGTACAATGAAATGCTTATGTCGGAGCTGGAAAGCTTGATTTGTTTGACTAATTATATTTTATTTGATGGTCCTCACCATTTCGAAATATATTCTTCCGTGGGCCAACAGAGATAGACCTGCATTTGGAGTAGCTTGTTTTCAAACACGTGGTAAGCGTTTTATCAAATGGAACATGAACTTCCTTATAACTGATGGGTTTTTTTTTAATGTCATGAAAAAATCTTAATTATTGAAATCAGGATTGCATTTGAACAATGATGATCAACTGAAATAGGATTTGTAACGATTTACTAAAATGCTACATTCCAGAAACAAACAGCCAAGAATACCACCATCTGAATAGCAAATTTTCGAAATATGTAGTTTCAACAAGTTCTACAAAATTTCCATATCTTCCGTTTAATACATATAACGTAGAACATCATCGCATGTTAGGAGCCGCCATGTATGTTTGATTGTCTTATTAATTAAAACGCATTGTGAAATCAAGCAAGTTTATAGGACGCCAAATTTTTCTGAATATTATTAGAAATCAGACGAAAGGCCATATAACTAGAACATAAAAGGCCGTATAACGCGATCTACATCAGGTGTACAATATATTATATTAATAAATGCTATATTTCAATAGCTCTTCGAATGCTCTATTTAATGATTTGAAAAAAAAATGAAATTATACTTTAGTCACTTAATATTCCTTGTTATTAACGTTCTGATTTCTCCCACTCTTGGTGAATGAAATACCGGGTTGGCCATAAAATAACTCAACCATAAAATAATCGACTATGAAATAATCAACGATCTCGGAAGCGAAAAAAAGAGAGCAATCCGTCCCAAATATTGCAGGCAAGTTCGCTAGTGATGTACAAAAATAAGGGTGAAACACGTATGGCGGTTATAGTTACGTCACCGTATCTCGAAAATTTCCACCGCAAGTAAGGAAATTTCAAAATAGTATGACATTCTACTTAATGGAAAACAGCACAGATTATCAGAATTATGTGTGCAGAACATTTACATAACGAAAAACAAAACAAATATTATCGATAAAGAATAAGAAGCAAGCACTCATAGCAGAATACTTGCACTAGGTTTCCGAATGAAATCAGCGCACATGCACTGGAGTAAAAAAGGATCTATTTAACGTAAGAAAATGCGCACCCTTTCATTTCCTGCATTTTTTATAACATTTTACAGAAAGGAAAAGTAATTCAGCAAAGCAACGTTGTGCGCTCGTGAAGCTATATTATACAAAACACTACAATGCTGCGGAAGCATTAAACCAATTTCATTGCATTTATAATTTATAAGGAAGCTAAACAAGATTGGTTTTTATTGCTCTGACACCGATCTATATAACACGATGTCAAAGTGACTGTAATGCATTCAGTCACGGCTGAACCATTCCTGGATCCGCGGTTTTCCAAAATTACTCACCCTTAGCGGCGAGATTACTCACATACAGCATCATAGTTACAAGCTGTGCATCAGTGTTGTCTACGCACGTTACAGGCATGTATTGTTTTGCCAAATGCCATCTGAATGAAGGAAGATGAGCCACCACATGTGATACTGGGCGTGAAAGTGATTTAAAAT